CTGTCTGTCCGCCGTCCGTCGGGGAAGAGTGTGCTCTTGGCACGGACGTCCTTGAGGACAGGCAGGAGGACTTTGAGTGTCTTGCAGCTGTTGTACCTCATCTCGTGGCCTGGCTGCTTGCACCTGAGGGAGACCCTGGACATCCCGACCCCGCGCTCTTACACAAAGGGGATCTCGGGTCCCTACTCCTCTCAGTGGCAGACAGCCATGGACGCAGAGATAGCATCCTGGAAGTCCACAGGCACCTACGTCGACGATGTTCCCCCTCCTGGGGCGAACATTGTCGATGGCATGTGGATTTTCGGGGTGAAGCGGCCGCCGAGTTCTCCGCCTGTCTTCAAGGCTCGTTACGTTGCACAAGGCTTTTGTCAGCAACAGGGAGTTGATTTCTTCCAGACCTTCTCCCCCACCACGAAGATGACCACTCTTCGGGTGCTGCTGCACGTTGCCGCTCAGCGTGACTACGAGCTTCACTCTCTTGACTTCAGCACAGCCTTCTTACAAGGCAGCCTGCACGAGGAGATCTGGCTGCGTCGCCCACCTGGCTTTACTGGGTCGTTCCCTTCTGGTACCCAGTGGAGCCTCCGGCGGCCAGTCTACGGTCTCCGCCAGGCGCCTCGTGAGTGGCACGACACACTGAGGACTACACTTGCGGCTCTTGGGTTTGCTCCCTCTACTGCTGACCCGTCGTTGTTTTTTGCGCACCGACACTTCGCTGCTGCCATTTTACATCCTTGTGTACGTCGACGACTTGGTTTTTGCCACTGCTGACACTGAGGCACTTGTGCTTGTGAAGTCGGAGCTGCAGAGGAGACACACGTGCACAGACCTGGGTGAGCTGCGCAGCTACCTTGGCTTGCAGATCACCCGGGACCGAGCACGCCGCACCATCACCCTGACTCAGTCACACATGGTGCAGCAGGTCCTTCAGCGCTTCGGCTTCCAGTTCTCCTCACCACAGTCCACTCCTCTGGCTACAAGTCACTCGCTCTCAGCTCTGCATTCGGATGAGTCCGTAGAGCCGAGTGGCCCATATCCAGAGCTTGTGGGCTGCCTCATGTACCTGATGACCTGCACACGACCTGACCTTGCATACCCTCTTAGCATCCTAGCTCGCTACGTTGCGCCCGGGAGACACCGGCGAGAGCACTGGGAGGCTGCTAAGAGGGTGTTACGCTACTTGTGCAGTACATCGGGCATGGGGCTAGTGCTTGGAGGACGGGGTCCAGTTGTCCTCACCGGACACTCAGACGCCTCTTGGGTCGACGACTTGGCTACACAGCGGTCGTCGCAAGGGTACACCTTCAGCCTTGGCTCCGGCTCTGTTTCTTGGCGGTCCACTTGGTGGTTTTCTTTCTCAGCTCCAGTTGTGAGGCTGAGATCTACGCCACAGCCATGGCTGCACAGGAGCTTCGCTGGCTCACCTACCTGCTGACTAACTTGGGAGAGCGGCCTCGTTCTCCTCCTGCTCTGTACGACAACAACAAGGCGGCCCTTGCCTTGTGTCAGGAGCACAGACTGGAGCACAAAACGAACCACATCATTGCTCTGCGTTACTTTCTTGCTCGAGAGCTGAAGCAGAGTGGCCAGCTTCGTCTTGCTTACGTGGACATGCGGGCCAACACTACTCATATATTCACGAAGGCACCGCTTAGTGATCATCAGCGTCACTGCACTACTCTAGCCCTCGTGCCTACGTTCTCTGACTTGCTTACTGCTTGACCTTGCCTGTACTGTGATCTATATATCTATCCTTGCATGTTTATATTAGATAGGTTGTGATCACTGTACTATGTACTTTGTTCTTTATGCATCTGCATGTGAACTAGCCTTTTGGCCCTTTGCCTGTGCTCAAAGTGTGTGGTGACGTTGTGATCCACTCTTAGCTTGTTTTACAACTTGACTTGTCTTGTGACCCCTTGTTCTTACCCACTTTGCCTATGGGGGTGTGTCAAACTATATATGTGTTAGTTCTGTGTAGGCTATAGTGGGGTAGCCCATATGGGGTACAACCCAAAGTTAGGGTTAGTACTTGTTGCCTTGTTTCATTCAATGCATTCATTCCTGCCTATTAGTTTCAACACCTCGTCCTCACCGAGTATCTATACAGCCGAAATTTTGGAGATGTACACGCACTCTCGTAATGAGGGCCTCCTTTGGGGGGGGTAGTGTATGGAAAATTCTTTTTCCTTACGCAGCATCCCTGCTTATCGCGTACACCACTGTTCTCACCACAGTGTGCACCGTTACCACTCGCGACACTCGCCTCGACCACATTCTCGCCACTACACCAGTCGCAACCCGACCTTAATGTTAGAATAGTAGATTAAGTGAACACTAGGGTTTGGGGTAGGAGGAGGCTTGAGAGAGAAACATGCCGAGAGAGTTTAGCCAAAGAGGATGAATTCACTATTGAGCGAGGTACATATAGCAAAGTAACAAAGAAGGTGCACCACCAACAGTTTATAATAACTACACTAAACTACAGCTACAGGCAGTTACAGATATATTCTAACACTCCCCCATAACTGCCTGCAGCAGGAGTTTGTGCAGCAACACATCCTGAATGGGTACACCCTGAACAGAGAAAACAACATCAGCAGGCAAGAGCAGTGGCAACCGGTGCAGTGGTGGCAGACTCAGCTACACCAACCCCTCAGCCAAGGTAGAAGCAACAGGCAAAGGTGCATGTGGCGGCAGGTCGCCTGGAGAGCGGGTGCGTGCGGCGGCACCGTGCAGCGGCACAGCAGGGCTCAACGGCAGCACCTGCCGCTCAACAGCAGAAGACAGCAGAATAAACAGCAGGTGGAGGCAGAGGCGGCAGCAGGAGGTGTCACGGTAGCAGCGGGCGGCAGCTGCAGATGCCTAGCTGACTTCCGCTACCGTCTCACCCTCCCCCCCACGGCAGCACATCCGGCAGTGAGAGAGAGAGGAGGAGGGGCGGCTGCTGGCTCGGCAGAATCTCTCTCTCCACTCCTTCACAATCTCCCCCTTTCCCCTCACCCTCCCCCCGCAACCTCTTCCCCCCCTCAGGACGGGCTGCAGGCAACTCACACCCGCCACCCCCACATCCCCCCCCCCCCCCCACGGTGGAAGTTGCGGAAGGGAAGGGGGGGGGGCGGCGTTGGCTGCTGCTGGCGCTGGCGTCGTCGCTGGCGCTCGCGCAGGTGCTGGCGACGGGCGCTTGTGCTGGCGCACACGACCGTGCGCGGGTGCGCACGGTCGTACGCAGCTGCGCGCAGCAATGCGTGGCCGTACGCAGCTGCACGCGGCTGCTGCTGTGTTCGTGACAGAATGGGGCGGGGCAGGCGATGCGCGCGACGAGCAGGGGCAACGGGCACGACGGGGAGACGAAACGAGGCCGCATCTGACGCCGTCGCGCAGCTCGCCGCCGAGACCGTTTTGACGGTCGCGACCGTTGCAACCGTCGTAACTAAAGTCGCGACGGGGGGCGTGACGAGCGCCATGAGCGGGGGGATACGTGGTGGGCCCGTGGGGGAAAAAAGTAGGTCTTAGGACGACCTAGCGCTTAATACTGTTGAGAATATGTTTGTATGCTTTTATTATAAGTGCACTGTTCGAAGTGTGCTTACAGGGGCTCGCCATAGCGAGGGATTTGAACCTGGTGGCGAGTCAACGGGGCGCAACCGAGCACAGCGGTTGCGACCCGCGTGGCAGATCAAGAGTCGAATCGACAGCAGGAGGCAGCGTCTACAGTACGTGAAATGTCCTGCAGGGCGCGGCTGAATACCGCGCCCTTGCCGAAGCTGAACAGTCTCGCCATCACGACTGTAACAGAGCAACCCAAGCGACGTGGCGCAACTGTTATACAGTTGCGCCTTGGTAACTGCCTGCCTGCTATGTTTCCTATATAACTGAATGTATTGCATTGCTCATATTACACAATTCCCAAGCTTGTGTCCGGCCTACCCTCGGCCGCTGCTCTGGCACCAAGTTACAAGCTAGGAGAGCTACCTCTGAGTGACCATTGCCCCGCCGTAGGGACGTCGTTAATTCCTAGAGCTTCCGCTGCGCTCTAGCGACTTCTTGTTTCCAACAAATACCATGTTAGAATAGTAGATTAAGTGAACACTAGGGTTTGGGGTAGGAGGAGGCTTGAGAGAGAAACATGTCGAGAGAGTTTAGCCAAAGAGGATGAGTTCACTATTGAGCGAGGTACAAATAGCAAACAAAGCATGCAAAGAAGGTGCGCCACCAACAGGTTATAATAACTACACTAACTACAGCTACAGGCTGTTACAGATATATTATAACACTTAAGGCTCGGCTGGTAACCCGCGCTCCTGGCCTCCGCCTCGACAATTCCCGACCTCAGTCACAAGCCTGTCACGCATCCACCACCCACAGTTCGTTACCGTTACCACTGTGGCCTTCGCTATCGAATTCTCGCTCATGCTTTCGCTCAATGCATTGTTTTGCTTCGATAGTGCAATTCTCGCTCGCTCGCTCAATTGCACTCGTAACAGCAGGTCTGAAGATCAGACTGAACAAAACTTTCAAGTCTGGAATTCATGACGAAGCATATGCTCAGGTCTGATGTCTCAGAGTGCCTAAAACGAATAATACGGTAGGTAGGAGTCTTATCCCAATAGGAACCACACACCACACTCACACCATTCACAATAGAGTGCGGGGCCTACTGTTTTATTTGAGACAATGATAGAGGTCATCTTTCTTCACACCTGCAAACAGTAGAATATATCTGCTGACAGATCCATGTGAAGTGACCTCCAATACCATAGTGCGTCTAATTCAAAAAACGACAAGAAAGAAGTGTGTGTGCACCATCCTTTTGATACAACATTCTCAGGATTCGTTCAAAAGTATAGGATACATACTCAAACTACGTCCAGGGAGGAATCATCAGTTTGAGCATGCAACCACTCTGAACGTTCCCCAATGAACCTCAAGGGTTTCCCAATCTCAGCCCCATTTACGAAGTTTGCCAAATGCTGGTTTCCACTATCTCCTGCAGGTGCTTAGCACTTGCTCTGGAACCAAGGGCACCCGCAGGCAAAGTTGACGCTCACTTTACCACTGCAGACCAGACAGAGCACACAAGCAACATATGCTTCCATGAATATCAACAATATTTTCAGAAAGCATTATGGCTCATGGCTCATAGACAGAAGATGGAAAGAAAAAAGAAAAAAGAAAAGGAGGAAAAAAAATTTGTCTCATGGCTCTTGACACAGCAGGATTCGCACTGGCACACACTCCCACTACACCACACTTACACTCCATTGTGCACAGGGACAGTGCCACCGTAGTGCCCACACGATGTTGTTGCTGAGGCACCTCGAGAACCACACTATCATCGAAAAGCTTTGGCACTTACGCTCCATTGTGCACTGAGACAGTGTCACCATCGCCAAACGCCCACACAATGTTGTTGTCGTTGTCAGCCTTCACCTTCACCGATGCCCCATCGCCCTTGTTCTTGGTGAACCTGGTGTGAGGGATGGGAAAGATGAGGTGAGAAGATGGTGAGCAATTAAAGCGAGATCCAGAGAGAAAAGGGAGGGAGAGAGGGAGGGGAAGGCTTATGGGTGGGAGGGTGGTAAGAGTGCAAGCAAGGTAGCTGAAGGATTACAAAGAAACTCACAAGGAAACTTTGAGCGAGGATAAAACTCGAGTATTTACGACGAGAGAACCTACGACGAGGGAACATACACCGAGGGTTCGTACAACGAGAGTGAAAGGAACATGGGAAACTCCATAATCCAAGAGCAAACCACATTTCTTACTTCATAATGACCTTGCTGCCAGACGTGGAGATCGAGCCCGATCCGACGGTCCATGACGCATCGTCCGCCGACGACTGCCCGACAAGATCTTTCGTCACCGGGCTGCCCGAGGAGTCGGTGGCGATGGCGTTGCTGCCCGCCATGCCGCCATTGGGTGAGAAGCCCACGGAAAACCAGCCTGCAGCCTTGGCCCCCGATGCCACCACGGCCATCTTGATCGTCCGCCCCTTGGTGGCCTTCCAGTGCAGCACCAGCCTGGGGGAAAGAGCGGGGAGGCGGGAAGGCGGGAAGGCGGGCGGAGAAAGCGCGTGGAGCGAGGGGGATGAGGAAGAAGCGAGGAGGATGGCGCAGGGCGAGCCAACGGCGAACCACCTCGCGGCCTTGACCCCCTCCGATGCCACCACGGCCATAATGGCATTCAGGCCTTCCAGTAAGCGCCAGTCTGGCGGAGGGAGTCACATGCGCGGGGAGGATGGAAAGCGGGGGGTATGAGGGAATGCGCGGGAACGGGTTGACGCTGGAAAACTGTGCGGGAATGCGGAAAAAGCACGGCGGGTAGCGCAGCGAACCACCCCTGCAGATGTGCCCTGGGGTCATACGCGACGGCGACATCAGCTGTTCCTACAGGCAGACTCGGAGTCACTGGAGTGAGAACAGATCTCGGGGGGAAACGCGTGGGAAATGTGCGGCGGGGTGGCGGGCAAAAATGGTAACCATTCGAGGGCGTGAAACAATTGGAGGGGGTACAACTGGCAGAGGGTGTACCCGCGGGTATAACGGCAGCGGCGAGGACGTGAAACAATTGGAGCGGGTTGCAACCGTTGCAGAGGTGACCGGCAGTAACCCGGCGGGTATAACGGCTGTCCGTTTGAGACCGTCGTCCGCCCGCCACCCTTAGCAGCCCGTTTGCCCTTACCCGGATGTCAGACCGTCTGACCGGCCTTGGACGTGTATCCCTTGAGGTTCGAGTTGTGAGTCGACTCAAACCCGCGCTGTCCGTTACTGAAACCGCCATCTGCCCTCTGCTCTTACCCGTTTGTGAGACCAGCCTTGGATGTATATCCCTTGAGGTTCGACCTGCCGCAGCTGAAGCGGCTGAACAGCTGTCGACGACTGTTGGTCGCGAACGACGGCGCGCGAGGGCTCTGCGACGACGGTGCGACGCGCGTCGCGACGGCCTGCGACGCGAGGAGCAGCACGCAGCTGAGAGCGAGTAGGGAAAGCGTGAGAAGGCGAGCCATGGATGCGGCGACTGAGATGATTAGAGGCAACTAGAGGCGACTGGAGGCGACGAGAGGCGACTGGAGGCGACGAGAGTGCAGCTAAGAGCGACGCGATTCGACGAATAGAGCCAATCTTAACGAAAATATGACAAAGTGCTCAAAGCTAGGGGCGGATGAGAAGTCGGATACGGCTCAACGTGGTTTCTCGGACCAAAAGGCTTAGTGATTGTGGCGGCGGGAGGGAAGCGTGGTGGACGGCGTAGTGCGGTGTTCGCGCTATTTGGTCGGATGCGAGGCAGTTGGGAGGCGTTGGCGGAGATGCTCGAAAAATGTTGTGATCGTTCTACATTTTGTACAAGTTATAAACGACGGGTCAACGAGAAGGAAGTAACAGAGGCGAGGGGGAGGAAGCAGGCGAGGCGGAGGATGGGGAAGGCGTGCGTGGGGGAGGAGGGCGAAGCAGCTGCCAGCTCATCACAGCTTGGTTGAGCAGCTTTGACGAGCTTCGTCGAGGTGCGCGACGTGTTGTGGCGAAGTGGCTAGAGGGCTTCGTTGGGTTCTGGCGAGTCAGGACGACATGCAAAACAACGCCGCTAGCCAATTGACTCGTTGTCGTCGCCACGTCAGGCTTCGGAAACCGATTTCCTGCGTGTGCTGCAGTAAACGCGGCACGGTCCCCTAGGTAACAAGCACACTCTACTGGTACCCAGCCGAAATTTTCAGAGCCTCGCATTATTCCGTTTCAGCCACTGTACTCGTAGCGAGCAGTTTCTGGATTAGCCTTTTCGCGAAAATTCATGGAAATATTCATTGTGTGGAGCAAGTGCGCGCTTCTACAGAAGTGAGTACACCATAGAAATGTGTCACTCACCGACCGCGCTAGCGATCACCGGCCTAAGTGAGAAAGTATACGTGTCCATCAATGAAGGGACTGTGGTTCTATGAAAGCGTGAGACGCGGCTTGGTTCCGCCAGAATGTCAACACTGCAATTCTGGTCGGTGGCCAGTCGGGGAAAAGAAACTCACTAAAGAGAACCATGGTTATGATAAATGTGGAAAAAATAACACAATGATCCAATTTCAGATGTGATCCAGAAGTACAAAACAGCTCTTTATGATAAATGTGGCATATAAAATTACAGCGATATGTACATCTCCTAACCCCCCCCCGCGTGTGCCTTGCGCAACCTGGGGTATTGTGGTCTACAAATATTTACAGATCTAGGTACTAGCACCTCGCTTCCCAGCCATTCTCTCCTTCCACTGCCACAAGGCGTCCCTCCAGTGCCTCTGCTTTTGTCTCTTAGCCACTCTCCCCACCTGATGCGTGCTTTTGGCAATATCAGAGCTCTCGCAGCTCATACATCTCTTGTCGCTGCATTGACTGCCACAATGGCAGAAATCCTCACACGGTGGGTCTGCATCCATCCCTGCATCATCCATTGTGGAAACACCCGCGTCAACATCAACTTCAAGGGGAGCCTCAGCCTCATGTGGTTGGGTACTTGAGAGAATGTCGACCCTGTCTAGCAGCTTCGTCAGCTTCCTGGCCATGTCCCGACGCAAGTTCCGGACGTCCTGGTTCGGGGACTGCACCTCGTCCAACCGAAGCAGCCAGCTCATGATCGTCTCGCTCACCCGAAGCTTCTCCATTGGTTCCGAAACCATCTTAGCGGCAAATCCGTTATCCCGAAGCTGCGCGTCCATCTCGTTTACCAGTGTCCGAACGTCAGCTATGGACCGAGCCAGTTCGAGAGGCTTGCCTTGGCGCACAGAATAGCCCCGCCATGCTGCTTGCACCTTCCGAGCAGCATTGTCAGGCGTCAATACCGATACGGGAGCGACTTTAGCAGCAGGAACGCCGGTGACGCCCGCCATTGGCGACGCTGTCGGCCTGTCGGGTCGCGTGCTACCATCATTGCTTGCTGGGCGCTGGACGGGTATTTTACGGAGAACTGCTTGCTCTTGCGTATGTTGCTGTCTAATCTTCGGCTCACTCAAATCTTGCTGCGGTCCTCGCGAGCGCGCTGCCTGCTTCCGTGCAATCTCATGTTTTCGCGTGTCATTGCGTCGTCTCTGCGCCAAATTCCCCGCTGGCGAGTCGTAGCCGTCGTCGAACCGGAACGGATCGCCGAAGAGCGGAGACGAAGAGGAGGCGAAGTTCCAAGGTGTTGGCTGAGAATGATAATGGCTCGCGTAAGGAGATGCGAAAACGTGGGGTGGTTGTCGCTCGAAAAGCAAATCTGACATACCAAATGCCATTTTCTGATTAACAGCTCTATCTAATAAGGTGCTGGCGATTGAAAGTAAGCGTTTGTCTATGCCTTGAGATCGTCGTAAGCTGGTTTGAATGTAAGCTGATTGCCTGAAGTAGCTGATTTGAGAGTGGGTTGAATGATGGTTCCACCACCTAGAGGCTCTATTTATTGGAGTGGCGAGACTGGTGATGGTGGTTCTAGATCCATCTCCCACCGTCGAGACGCATCGAGAAAGTTCTGCATTCCCCAGATCCAGCAGGTTCGCGAAACCGCGTGCTTCTTCGCGAATCCGCGTGATGCTTCGCGAAAACGCGTGAACACGAAATTGGAGGAAGCAGCAAGTGGCTCGCGAAATCGTCGTGGCTCGTGTAATGAGGAGCTTGCGAAGGGCTAGGAGCTGGGAAGTGCTGTGAATTGTGGATCGCGAAGGAGTGGAATCACGGCAGGTTACCTCACGATCGGGTCGCGAACAAAGCCGAGGTCATACCCCGCTAATGCATAACCACCAGGAAACCCTCTTGTTACAATAGTCCAGGGAGTAAGGTTTCGTAGGTTGTTGAGAGACAAAACAAGAGGCGACGAAATCGTCTTAGGGTTGCGAAGCAACACTGGTAAACATGCGCCATTACAGGTCGCCACAATCGCTCTATAACGATGGCATTGTCTTAGGTTTCAATCAAGATAAATATTAGCACGAGAGATGCTTCATATGAGCAATAATCTAGTCTCTCAGTTTCAATCTCAATAATAGATTTCAATTTCAACCTCACTGTTATCTTACCTGCAAATTGTGAAAAGGGAATTGAACATTTTGTTTAGTTGTTTAAAATTAACTACTCAAGAATTATGTAACAGAGTATTCTCTTCAATTTGCAAAAACCAGATCAGCAAAGGCAAGTGAAAACGGAACTTCCGCAAGCAAGATTCGAACCCAAGCTTTCCTTACCCCGAAACCAAACTTTACTCGCATGTTCATTGGAGGTTCTTAAGTTCCCCATACCTTTTACTGATATTTGGCAGCACAACATGTAGGGTTTCATTCTTCTCCTCTTCGTTTTTCCCGTTCTGCTTGTGGGAGCTCACCTTGGTCCTTGCTCTCGTTTTGGCGCTAGCTCACCTCAGCTAGCTTCCTTGGTTAGGTAAGCTTCAGCTTCTCTTCGCTTATGCCTACGACCTACTCCGAAACTAGGATAGTAGGTATGTTAGATGTCTTACCTAACGCCGTGTTAGAAGCTGCTGCAGATTTCGACCTATTCAGGTAGGTCGATTCCTTGCCTGAAAACCGTTTCGAGGTTCTACCGGTATTTCCTAGCTTCTGCCATTCGTTTTCGTTTTTTAACCTCGCTTTCTTCCTAGTTTATGCACCGTACTTTTCTTCTCTCCTTCCCTCTGCTTCTCTCCACTTCTTCCCATCTTCCGCTCTCCTTTTTTTCGATTTACATTGGTCGTGCTTGCTCTTTTCAGCTCCTGCTCTTACTTTCTTCCATACGCTGTTTCTTGGTTTCTTCCTCCACCCTAATGGAATTTTGAATAGATCTTTACAATTCTGTTCAAAGAGTTAGTTCACTAGGTAGGAGCATATTCTCTCTCTCTCTATCTCTCTCTCTCTCTCTCTCTCTCTTCTCTCTCTTCTCTCTCTCTCTCTCTCTCTCTCTCTCTCTCTCTCTCTCTCTCTCTCTCTCTCTCTCTCTCTCTCTCTCTCTCTCTTTCTCTCGTTCTCCCTCCCTCGTTCTCTCACTCTCGTTCTCTCTCTCGCGTTCGCTCTCTCTCGTTCCCTCTCTCGTTCTCGTTCTATCTCTCTCGCTATCTCGTTCTCTCTCTTTCTCGTTCTCGTTCTCTCCTCTCCCGTTCTCGTTCTCTCTCTCTCTCTCTCTCTCTCGTTCTCGTTCTCTCTCTCGTTTTCACTCTCTCGTTCTCTCTCTCCTTCGTTCTCCTTCGTTCTCTCTCTTGTTCTATCTCTCTCGTTCTCTCGTTCTCATTCGTTCTCTCTCTCTCTCTCTCTCTCTCTCTCTCTCTCTCTCTCTCTCTCTCTCTCTCTCTCTCTCTCTCTCTCTCTCTCTCTCGTTCGTTCTTTCTCGCTCGTTCGTTCTCTCTCGTTCGTCCTCTCTCTCTCGTCCTTTCTCTCTCTGTCGTCCTCTCTCTCTTGTTTTGAATCCATTCATGATTCTTCTTGTTTTCTCTGCTTCTTCCTTTCGGTTGATTTTCTTTCACCGTATTCGCTGCTCGTCCCTTCTACTCGTTTTCCTTTCTTCGTCTTGTGATGGTTGTTTTATTTCTTCACCAGGTTGCGCGTACGCCAGATTAACTACCTTATGATTGAGCCAAGCGATTGAGAAATGTTGAATTGTAAAATTTGATTTAGGTTGTTCATAAATTTTGCATCTTCTGTTTTCATTTCTTCCTACTTGTCTTTATTGTTTGTGCATTTGTATGCGGTAGTTTGCCTTCGTGTGTATGTGCGTATGCGTCATTGTGTGCATGCATGGGTTTTTTTTTTTTTTTTTTTTTTTTTTTTTTTTTTTTTTTTTTTTTTATGTTCATCATTGCCTCAACAATGCATGTCTGTTAATTTTTTTAAAAAATGGGTTCATTTCTATCATTTCTCATTGGTTCATTGGCGCACTCAGTGACTCGTGTGTTTGCCACTTCGAACTGGATTTGATAGAGTGAACTTGTTTTTTAGAGTTAACAGATTGTATTGTTTCATGTGCTAGTTGATTATTCAAAGACTTTGCTATTGACTTCCCCCCCATGCTAGGCAGGGGATGCGGTAGCCTAGTTTTTGGGTCGTTAACTATCACGCATTTGTATGATATACTGGTGTGGTGCATTTCAGCATATCATATGCATACAAAAGCATTTTCATGCGTGTAACAGGTATTAGGTATGCATCTATATATCATGTCTCATCATTACATCCATTTAAGCATGCGTGGCGTGTAATTCATTACTAGTATTCACAACATTTATCACAACATATCAAACAATAAAAGATATAATACAAACAGTATAATATGCACGTAACTGGTACTACAAAGACAGCTACCAATACTGTTCAACATGCACAATGGGAAGGGTCGTACTGTAGCTGACGAATTTTATTTTCATGGTTTATTAAAAAAATCATGAAAAAGAAATTGTCAAAATCGATCGTAAAGGGTTGCTTCGCAACCCAAAAAACAACCATGTGACACATACGTACGGTAGCATGTTTTCACCCAGTGCACTGCCGTTTCTGAATGTTTTATTTCATTTCCAACATTTCCCATTGAAACATATGCAATTGCTCTTTTGTAACTTCGCTTCACAAGGCAGGTGAACAGTCATCCATCACTTAAATCCTAGCAACAAGCTGCAAAAACTAGAGAGAAGCTGCAAAAACTAGAGAGAAGCTGCAAAAGCTAGAGAGAAGTAGCTAACAAAGAGTGCTCAGCCAATGAGCTCGGAGATGGGCGGTCGTTCCATGACATAAGCGGACTGCTTTGCTGCCTTGGCCAATGAGGGGTCAATGCCGGGCAGGTATGGGATCTGAATTTGGAGTTCATGGCAGGGAGACAGGGAGAGAGACGGAGAGAGGACAAAAAGGCAGAGGCAGGGTAAATGGGAGATGCAACGAGTGGAGAGAGCAAGGGTGGGAGAGAGGGGAAATTGAGAGCAAGACGAAGTGTGTGTGTGTGTATGTGTGTGACGGAGATTTGAATCTGAATTCCTCTCCATAAGGAACTATCGAGAGACTGTTTCATTGGCAATGAGAATGAACGAAAAAAGTATCACATCAGATGCCATGCAGCTCGAAAGATACAGCAAGACCAAGACGAGCAGGTGGACTCAAGAGAGCTACAGAGATGAGATGACGCCTAAATGGGGAGGTGATGCTTGAGTTGCGATGGTAAGTCGTGGTATGGTAGTTGGCATGGACCAATGACATGGCACAAACCTGAGAGAGCAGACCAACGGTTATACAAACCTGAGAGAGCAGACCAACGGTTATACAAACCTGAGAGAGCAAGTCAATGGTGCGCCTTAGCAGCCGTGCAATGTCCCCCTCGTCCAGCCCCGCACAGTCAGCGATGAGCTGGCGCCACGTCACACCCTGCGCCCACGCCTCCACCACTCCAGCGAACTGCGCGTCCAGGTCAGCAGGGATTGCCACGTTGGCAGCCAGCTGGAGCTGCATCAGCCAATCGCGGCGCTCCTCTGCCTCGTACACCCACTCCTGCACCTCCCAGGAGGGCTCATAGGGGAAGGAGGGCGAACTGGAAGTGGTGGGGGAAGGCCGGGGGGGGTGGGGGGGGGGAAGAGTGAGAGCAAGGGCAGGCAAAAGGGCAGCGCGTAAGGGGCTAGGACAAACTCTGCCTCGTGCACAGAGTTGAAAGGGTTCGAACTGCAGCGAGCTTGAATTCTCAAAAGGGACAGTCTCTACCTCGTACACCCGCGCCTGCACCTCCCAGGAGGGCTCGTAGGGAAAGGAGGGCGAACTGGAAGGATGGGAAAAAGGGAGAAAAATAAAGGGGGGGAAGGGGAAACGGTGAAACGGTGAAAAAAGGGGATTCGCAAAAAAAACGAGCAACAGCGGGAGAAGGGGTCAGCTGGTGTCGAATGAGGGAAGAGTTATGGGGGAGGAATGATGAGGGAGGAATGATGAGGGAGGAATGATGAGGGAGGAATGATGAGGGAGGAATGATGAGGGAGGGATGATGAGGGAGGAATGATGAGGGAGGAAGCTGCATAGAATCAGAGAGCTGTGGCTGCGACAATTCGCCCTGTTGGCATCAGCTGACCCCTCCTCCCATCCCACTACCCCCTACAGGCTCACTGCCCTCCTTGCCTCTTTTATCTCACTCCTTGCCTCTTCCATCTCACTCCTTGCCTCTTCCATCGCACTCCTTGCCTTTCCATCTCACTCCTTACCCTCACTGCTTCGCTTTGTGCCACTTCCCACCTGCCCTTGCCCAGCCTCCCCCATCCCCCAACCCAACCCCATCCGCCAAATACTCCCACTTCCACTGCTTCTGCACACCTGCCTCTTGCTCCCCTCTGCACACCTGCCTCTTGCTCCCCTCTGCACACCTGCCTCTTGCTCCCCTCTGCACTGCCACTGCTCACCTGCCATCCCTGTTCTCATGCGCACGCGCAATGCCAATGCCCCCCTCACCTGCCCTTGCTCCCCCACATGCAACCACCACTGCTCACCTGCCCTTTCTCCCCCACATGCAACCACCACTGCTCACCTGCCGTCGCCTGTGCGCATGCGCATGCCTTCAGACACCAGAGCAGCGCAGCACCCCGCAATGGCTGGGGGAGAGAGGCGCGGGAGGGAAGGATGGGAGAGCGCCACTGCTATCCACAACTCGTTCACCCCTCGCACCTGCGTGGCAGGGGGGGGGGGGGGGGAGGAATAGGGGAGGAAGCAGGGAGAAGGAAAGAGAGAGGTGGGTAGAGAGGGAATGCGCGGGAGGGAGGGGTGCGAGAGCGCCACTGCGATCCACAGCTCGTTCACCCCTCGCACCTGAATAATGGGGGAAGAGGGGAGGGAGACGGGAGACGGGAGATGGGAGATGGGAGACACGGGACGGGGGACGGTGAGACGGGAGTGAGGAGCCAGTGCTCTGGAGTCATGGCAGTTACCTTGATACGAGCTGGTTTTTGAGAATTCTCAATTACCTTGATGGCTACATTTCCCACCGCATGAGTGTGCTGGCTGCCACACCACCACCTAATTGCGACCCACCACCTGACCCACCACCTGAAAAAACTCCTGACCCACCTGGCCGTGTCCCCTCTCACCTTGGCAGCAATCTCCCCAAGAGGCATGAGCGTGCTGCTCTCCGGGTCCAGCGCCTCAGCCTGAGCCAGCACCTGAACCACCTGAACAAACTCCTGCCACCCGGCCGGCTGCATGCCTGCAATCCGCCTCCTCAGCGCCTCCACCCGCCTGCCCACCTTCCCCTCCTCATACTCGCACCTCCCCATCTCCGTCACCTGCTGCTGCCGCCGCTTATACACAGCCGAAGCCTTCACCCTCTTTCTGATTTGCGATAACTTCTGCTTGTGTGTCTTGAGGGAGGATTCAAGGGAGGAGAGAGAGGGGGGGAGGGCGAGGTGGTTGGAGTCTTCTGAAGGGGAGAGAGGGGAGATGGGGGACCAGCCTTGGGGAAAGCGGATGGCGGATGTGAGGTGGAGAAGGGGTTGCTTGGATTTGATTCGCCAGACGCTGAACGTGGGGTGAGGGGTGGATAGCCACGTGGCGGATTGTGATTCGCTGTCAGTGCTGCTGGTTGGAAATGAGTCTACTGCTGCTCCCTCCTTCCTCTCTCCAGACTCTCCCATCCCTCCATTGTTCCCATCCTCTCCCCACTTGTCTCTTCCAGTTTCCTCCTTTCCTCCTCCCTCCTCCTCTCCCCTCTCCTTCTCCCCTACCCTGTCACTGAGCCATCCCTGTAGCATCTCCGGCACGGGCGGCAGGAAGAGTTTCAGCTTTGCCGCCCGCTGCCACCCAGCCGTCTCATCCGCCTCTTCCTGCCGGCCATCCGGCCAGAGGTACCTGCCGACGAGCTGCCGCCCGTCCGCTGCTGACATGGCGAGCTCTGATTGGTCGGTGGGGTCGTACTGCGCTCTGATTAGCTGGCGGATGCAGGGCGAGGGGAGGATGTACCAATGGGAATCCTCCCCTATCACTGCCACGTAGGATGGCGAGGAGGAAGGGGAGTGTGAGGAAGCAGAAGAGGAGGAAGAAGAGGAGGAAGAGGGGGAGAGGGATGGAGAGGTGTCGGTTCTATGAACGTTGTCTGCTAAGCCTCCCAATTGTGCCACGTTTTTCAGTCCATGCACCTCTCTCCCTTCCTCTTCCTCCTCCTGCTCCCCCTTTTTCTTGTTCTTTCCACCATCACTTCCCTTCACCCCTCTTCCCCGCACCTCTCTCCCAATATCACTGCCCCCCTCCTCCCCACTCTCCCCCTCCTCCGCCCAGTCCTCCCCCTCCTCCTGCAGGAAAGGGGGAAGCGCCTCCAGTTGCCCAACCAGCAGCCCCCGAACCGACCGCACAGCCCCGGACGCCAGGTCCGGGAACTGCGCAGTTACCACGAGCCTGCGCCCCACAGGTACGGGAGCAGGGCGAGCAGCACCGTTTCCACCAGACACGGTTGAATCATCAGCACCGTCCGTTCTACCAGGGGCTGTTAATGCATCCCCTGCAGACAAACCATCAGAGGCAGCAGCGCTGTCTGTAGCGGCTGCAGCAGCAACAGGCGCTTCATGACCCTCGTGGCTTTCTTGAGCCTTGTCGGCCCACAGCAGAGCCTCCTGTATCTGGGGGTCCAGGGCGGCTGCTCGCTGCTGAAACACCTGCCTCTGCAACGTGGCCACCGTGTGCCGTGTGGACTGAGAGGGAAGGGGTGTGGGGGGGAGAGTAAAAAAGTGGGGGGAGAGGGGAATGAGCGCACAGGGAGGAATGAGCGTGCAGGGAGAGGGGCATCAGCCTCGGCATTCTCATGAGCCCACAGCAGATGCTCCTGTATCTGGGGTTCGAGGGCTGCTGCACACTGCTGGAACACCTGCCTTTGCAGCGTTGCCACCGTGTGCCGCGTGGACTGAGAGGGAAGGGGTGTGGGTGGGGCAGGGAAGGGGGGTGACAGGGAGAGGCTCATCAGATCAGGGATGAGGCTCATCAGCAGGCATGCTGTATCTGGGGATCCAGCGGGAGCAACGCGTTGCCTGGAACAGTTGCCTTTGCAGAGTTGCCACCGTGTGTCGCGTGGAGTGGAGTGAAGGAGGGAGAGACTTTTGAGAATTCTCAAAAGTCACTCCAATATTGAAGGAGGGAGAGGGATAAAAAGGTGGGAAGGAACACCTCATTCAAAGCCCCTCCAACACCACATTCCCTCCCCTTTCACAAGGTGACTTTTGAGTCGACTCAAAAGTCTTTTGAGTCGACTCAAAAGTCACCTCGTTACAATGGCACACGACACTTTTTCTACACGGAGAGCGCTTATTGCTTGGAGACTACCTAAAAGAGTTGGAAACTTTTTAATTTCTGCTAAGAAGTGCTAGGTACAGTAGATTTCACTGTAGCCTTTATTGCATTTGCTTGTACAATGTTCACCTGTACCCCGCGAGGATTCTCCCGCGTTTTGGGTCCTGCGTGACATTTCCTAGGCCTATAAGTAGTGCCTTTACACGTAGACTAGCTTGTGGTCTGAAGAAGGCGTTTGACGCCGAAACCGGTTACCATCAAAATTCACACAAGCGTGTTCCTACGTAAACACCATTTCACCTACTCAGGTGTCACTATCAATCAATTGCTGCCACGTACTGCACCATGGCCCCCAAATGGGGTTCGATTGGACTTCACCTCGATACTACTACGATGGCCAATTACAGATTCGTTGCTAATGCAACAGACACCATCACAAACACTGACAACACCAAGGATAATCCTACTCGACAACTCACGCGACGCTCGAGGAAGACAAACCCGAGAACCAGTCACAGAGATAAAGAGCAGGCCGACTCTGAAGCTAATCCAGAGTCTCCAGTTTCTCGACCGAGCAAGAGGAGAGCTTGTGAATTTCCACCTGCTATTCCGACAGAGGCTACCCCAGCACCAGCCGTTCAGCGATCTAGCGACTCTGCAACCATGGCTGCGCCGCGACAGGAAGCTGCTCACGAGATCCATGACACCGTCATGTTGGATTCTTTCGATTTCCTTGGTGATATTAACAACACTGTTCTTGACAAGCAGGCTACTCCTTCATGCCTGGAAGAATTTAAGCTGCAAGCAATTAAGGACTTCCGGAAGAAATTTCTTAAGCACCGGACTCTAATGCTGCAGTACAACTTCATGGAAGAACAAAAAGCAGGCGGGATCATCCCGCACAGCATCAGGATCAAGCCTTTTGGCTTCGTTTGCAATTCCGAAGAACTCCGTCAAGAAGCGGACAAGGATCTGCAAGCGGCCTGTGAAGCATACTGCAAGAATGCACAAGACATCCTGATTGCAATGAAGAAGAAAGCAGCAGAGCAGGCTCGCAATGACACCGCGGCTGTTTTCCAGAGGCTCCAGGACCAGATCGTTAACTACATCAACCTGGCCAAGAAAACGGACATCGGGACCAAGAATTCTAAGCTGACCGACAATTTGAATTTCTTCAAGAATCGCGTCATTTCTGAATTCAAGGACGCAATGTCCATTTTTGTCATGGAAGCTAACCTCTCTGAAATTCATTTGAAGGAGAAGAAGAGGGAGATTGATGAGAAGAAGGCTGCTGCGACAGAAGAAGCTGAGAACCTCCCGATCGATCCCACTGTTCGCGAGATCGCCAAACAGGAGGCTGAGAAGGCAGTCACTAAGCTCAAGCCGAAGTCTACTCCCCACCACTCGTCCCCGAAGAACGGCAAGAAGAAGGCTACTGCTGGAAAGAGAAAGACCTTCCCTGTTAACAACAACAAGAAGGTCTCTACCGCAGCGGCCAAGAAGACCAAGAAGGCGCAGCCGAAGCAGAATAGCAACGGCAAGAAGCACCTGAACGGTCCCGGGAAGAAGGTGGAGGCTGGTACTCACCGCGCAACGCAGACGATGGGTCGTGCTTACTCCAAGACAGCCGGACGCAACGCAACTCACCCGAAGAACCATAACACAGCGGCAAAAAACGGGGGAGGAGCCGTCCGCGGAAAAACAGGTCGACAGTAGCGGCAGATGTTCACTCCTACGCGCTTATTCTCTTCGGCCGACAGACCGAGAGTCAGCTGCGTTGTAGAGTGACTAACCGCGGCATTCACAATTTCAGCGACCATGTCTTCACGAGTGACGAGCTCAATTTGCTTAGTTTGGGTCTCAAGTTCATACCTTTCCCTGCTATTCGTAACATCGCTAGTCTAGAAGCCGAGCTATTTTCTTTCTTTAGAAGTGTGCGTACGATGTATCGTTTTGGCGGAACTGATATCGTTTCTGATTATCCAGGCTACAAGCTCCCGCGGCGGGAGAACTGGAATCCACCATTGGCCTCATCCGAGATTGAAACGGCTCTCGCAGTCTTTAAGGACTCGGTGATGAAGGACATCAATGGTCAAACGATTCGATCACGCCTACGGAAAAACGTCATTCCTACACTTCAGCGACTTGCTAGACACCCGGATCTAATTTTCAAACCTGCAGATAAGAATCTCGGCCTAACGGTTATGAGCAGAGACTTCTATCAAGAGAAATGTCTTCAACATCTTCTTAATACGAAAGTCTACCGAGAATACTCTACCGTCCCGACTGAAGATATTCTTCAAGATCTGCACTCAATTCATTCCGATTTTCAACCATTACTATCCAAGAAGATCTGGAACTCTTTCTTCAGTCAACCTAATGGCGGATGGAAAATTCCCGCTTTCTACGTTCTACTAAAGATTCATAAAAAAATTCCAGCTGGGCGACCTATAGCGGCATGCCATTCGTGGATTACTTCTAATGTTTCCCGTTGGCTTGATACGGTTCTACGTCCATTGGTTCTACAACAGCAGACTTACGTCCAAGATTCACAGAGTCTTATTCTCGAGCTAGAACAACGGCGGTTTTCTACACAGCTTCTGCTCGCTTCTTATGATGTTGAGTCGCTTTACCCTTCTATTCCTTTACTGGACGGCATTGACGCTGTATCTTATTTTCTCCAGAAAGCCAGACATCCGCTCGCTCCTCTGATCACTCGACTGCTTCGTTGGGTGATGTTCAACAGCTACGTCTCCTTTAACGGCAGGTTTTTTCGCCAAATTCATGGCACCGCCATGGGGACTTCTGTAGCGGTTTGCTTTGCGGTTCTTTTTATGAGCTTCCTGGACATTCAGCTCCGCTCTCTGCTTCCATCACCTCCCCCTCTTCACCTTCGCTTCATAGATGACGGTTTGATTTTGTGGGAAGGGACGCGGGAAGAATTTCAACGGTTGAAAGCGCGGTTTGACACGCTTCATCCTTCAATTCGCTTGACTTGGGTCATCTCAGAGACGTCCATTGATTTTTTGGATGTCACCTTTTTCAAGGGCGAACGCTTCAACACCTCGGGTATTTTGGACCTGAAGCTGTATCAGAAACCCATGAACAGGTACCTGTACTTACCCTACAAGTCATACCACACTCGTACTACGAAGGTGGGCTTCATCCGCAGTGAACTTCACAGATTCCTGTTACGCTCATCTTCTCGTCCCGATTTCTTTAACTCCCGGGCTCTTTTCTTCGCTCGTCTCCGTTCAAGAGGGTATCCGGAGAAATTTCTCCTGCCGATCTTCAAGTCGGTCTCCTTTTCCTCTCGGTCAGAACTCCTCGCTCGCGCGTCTTCGACACGTGCCTCTCCGAAACGTGGCCCCCTCGTGCTGAAATGCCTACTCAACCCCTTGGTTGACCATTCGCACCTGGGGAAACTTTTGAGTCGACTCAAAAGTCACCTCGTTACAATGGCACACGACACTTTTTCTACACGGAGAGCGCTTATTGCTTGGAGACTACCTAAAAGAGTTGGAAACTTTTTAATTTCTGCTAAGAAGTGCTAGGTACAGTAGATTTCACTGTAGCCTTTATTGCATTTGCTTGTACAATGTTCACCTGTACCCCGCGAGGATTCTCCCGCGTTTTGGGTCCTGCGTGACATTTCCTAGGCCTATAAGTAGTGCCTTTACACGTAGACTAGCTTGTGGTCTGAAGAAGGCGTTTGACGCCGAAACCGGTTACCATCAAAATTCACACAAGCGTGTTCCTACGTAAACACCATTTCACCTACTCAGGTGTCACTATCAATCAATTGCTGCCACGTACTGCACCATGGCCCCCAAATGGGGTTCGATTGGACTCCAATAGTGAAGGAGGGAGAGGGATAAAAAGGTGGGAAGGAACACCTCATTCAAAGCCCCTCCAACACCACATTCCCTCCCCTTTCACAAACAACTCGCCCCACATTCCTCTCGCAACAAGATCAGCCACAATTACGCGCTTATGTTGAGAGCACTTTGAGAATGCCTCTTGCAACAATTCTCAGAAGCGATTTCAACATTCCTCTTGGAACAAGTTCAGCCAAAATCACATTTATGTCTACTTTCCCCATCCCCACCCCCACCCCCACCCCCACCCCCACCCCCACCCCCATCCCCAACCTCATCCCCATCACCATCACCATCACCATCCCCATCCCCATCCCCATCCCCATCCCCATCCCCATCCCCATCCCCATCCCCATTCCCATTCCCATTCCCCCCATGACTCATCCCTCATGTTGAACTCTCCCACCATGGCGTGCCGGTCTCCGCGTCTTCCGTCCATGCCATTTCCTCTCCTCATCCCGCTCCTCCAACATCCCCATACCCCTCCCTTCCCACCCCCAGTCCATCCCCCCCACCACTCACCACGAACTCGACCACCATGGCTCGTAACCTCATTCCCCCCCCTCCCCCTTCTCCTCATTCCCCATACCCAACCCCCCCACAACTCACCACAAATTCTTGCACCAAGACTCGGGAACGCACCCGTCACCCCCTCACCCCCGTCACCCGTCACCCGTCCCCGCTTCTGCCCACCCCCATACCCAACCGTCCACAATTCTTGCACCATACCGCTTCCCCCCACCACTCACCACGAACTCTTGCACCATGCCTCGGAATGCACTAGTCACCTCGTCCTCCCCTTCCTCCTCGCTCCTCATCTGCCTCTCCACCTCCCCCCTGCGCTGCCTCAGCTGCACCAGCTTCTCCTCCAGTGCCGCTAGCTGCTGCCGCGCCTGCTGCAACACCTGTGGAGTGGCAAAAAGCGGGGAGGTGGGGAAGGTGAGGGTTTGAATGTGGCAACTTCTATTCTTCTCCTCCAACATCGCCAGCTGCTGCCGCGCCTGCTGTAGCACCTGTGGAGGGGCGAAGGATGGGGGGTGGATGGGAGAGAAAGTGCAAATGAGAAGGATATTAACGGCGTTGGGTTGGGGCAGCACTTCTCCTTCTCACTACTCATCTTCGTCTCCCCCAACCCAACGCCACCAGCTGCTGCCGCGCCTGCCGTAATACCTGAGGAACGGGAGAAGGCAGGGAAAGTGGGGAAGGTGGGGGTTTGAACTTGGCATGACTTGATCCCCTGCGTTGCCATGCCAGCTGCCTTCACCCACCCATGCAGCTCCCCACCCACCCAACCCACCCACACTTACGCACTGACACACTCCCACGCACCTCGCTCGCCAGGTAGTTGCCAAAGCTCCGCTCTATGAGCGCCTTCGCCTCCTCCATGCTGCGAGGGCTGCCCACCCCCCCACCCACCCCCCCACCCCCCCCCCCCACCCACCCACCCCCCCACCCACCTATAAGCTTCGTGAATTTTACTTTTGAGAATTCTCAAAGGTGGCAACCGTCACTCACCTCGCTCGCCAGGTAGTTGCCAAAGCTCCGCTCTATGAGCGCCTTCGCCTCCTCCATGCTTCGCCCCCGCCGCACCGGCACTGCCGCTGTTGCTGCTGAAGCATCTGCTGCTTGACTCTCCCCCCCTGCAGCAGCTACTGCAGGCTCGCCTGCAGCACCGTTACTGGTAGAGGCACCCTCGTTTGAATCACCTCCCTCTACGCCCGCACCACTGGCCGCCTCTGTCTTCTCCTGCCAAACAGGCGCGCCCTGTGGAAAATACGCGCGCAAAAAAAAAGAATGAACACGAGAGTGAAAATGGGAATCATGAAAATGAAAACTCTATTATGAAAGAAAGAAGAATGAGAATACAGAATGAAAAGGACTGGGGGATGTGGGGTTGGAAAGGGGAAGGAGATGAAGAAGGCGTGGATAAATGAAGGGAAGGGAGGCAACATGCGAGTCACATCTCATACACCCATCCCCATCACACCCACCCCCAGTAGGGTGGGCGCGATGACATAGGTGGTTGTGGATTGCGAGACGAGGGGGTCAAAGCTAGGAGCAGGCAGCAGCAAGTAACACTCTTTAAACAACCAGACACAACCAGACACAACCAGACACAACCAGACACAACCAGACACAACCAGACACAACCAGACACAACCAGACACAACCAGACACAACCAGACACAACCAGACACAACCAGACACAACCAGACACAACCAGACACAACCAGACACAACCAGACACAACCAGACACAACCAGACACAACCAGACACAACCAGACACAACCAGACACAACCAGACACAACCAGACACAACCAGACACAACCAGACACAACCAGACACAACCAGACACAACCAGACACAACCAGACACAACCAGACACAACCAGACACAACCAGACACAACCAGACACAACCAGACACAACCAGACACAACCAGACACAACCAGACACAACCAGACACAACCAGACACAACCAGACACAACCAGACACAACCAGACACAACCAGACACAACCAGACACAACCAGACACAACCAGACACAACCAGACACAACCAGACACAACCAGACACAACCAGACACAACCAGACACAACCAGACACAACCAGACACAACCAGACACAACCAGACACAACCAGACACAACCAGACACAACCAGACACAACCAGACACAACCAGACACAACCAGACACAACCAGACACAACCAGACACAACCAGACACAACCAGACACAACCAGACACAACCAGACACAATCAGACTGAGACACTCACCCCCAGCAGGTTGAGAGCCATGCCGTACGTGGCTGTGAATTGAGACACAAGCGGGTCAGCGCCCCCCAGCAGCAGGCGGCAGCAGTCTTGCGCGCCCTCAAAGGGCGTCTGCACCACCACCACGTGCCCCTGCCTGTCCTTGCCCCTCCTCCCCGCCCTCCCTGCCATTTGCAGCATCGCGTTGGCTGAGAGAAGACTTCGACCCGCATTGCCCCTGCACACAGAGCGACGAGAGTTGAATCGGAAGATGATGAGAGGGGGAGGAAATGAAAGGGCGTCTGCACCACCACACCACCACGTGCCCTTGCCTGTCCTTGCCCCTCCTCCCCGCCCTCCCTGCCATTTGCAACATCGCGTTGGCCGACAGGAGACTGCGGCCGGCGTTTCCACTGTGCACGAGGTGAGGGGGAGTGGAAGGGGAAGGTGAGAGGGGAAGAGGGAAGGGGAATGAAAGGGCGTCTGCACCACCACACCACCAGGTGGCCCTGCCTGCCTGTCCTTGCCCCGCCTCCCCGCCCGCCCCGCCATTTGCAGCATCGCGTTGGCTGAGAGGGGGCTTCGACCCGCATTACCACTGGGGTGGGAGGGGAAGAGAGGGGGGACGAACATGAAAAGAATGACAAGTCGGCACTCGCTGATAGTGGATACCAACAACAGATGCAAATGCACATACCATCGCACATACCATCGCACATACCATCGCACATACCATCGCACATACCATCGCACATACCATCGCACATACCATCGCACATACCATCGCACATACCATCGCACATACCATCGCACATAGCATCGCACATACCATCGCACATACCATCGCACATACCATCGCACATACCATCGCACATACCATCGCACCTCTATGTATAACACACAGCAACATGCATCCTTACCCGCCCAGATGCTTAGAGAGAGCCGAGAGCACAGTGGTGCGCGCAGGCATGTTGATGCCTGCTGATAGCGTCTCCGTGGCGAATACCACCTGATGGGGAGTGGATGGGTTCGAAAAGATGGTGGGAGGGGAGAGAGAAGAGGGAAACACTGTGTGGGTGCGGGAAGGAGAGAGAAGCGCAGAGAGCACAGTGGTGCGCGCAGGCATGTTGATGTCTGCTGATGGTGTTTCCGTGGCGAACACTACCTGGTGGGGAGCGGGGAAGAAGGGGTGGGTGGGGGGGGGAGGAGGAGAGAGGTGCGGGGGAAGGAAGGAAAAAGAGGAGATTGCACAGAGAGCACATATACCTGGTGCGAGCCGGTATGTTCATGCCCGCTGATAGTGTCTCTCTGGCGAATTCTACCTGGTGGGGAGTGGACGGGGGAAGGTAAAGGCGCAGACAGCACAGTGGTGCAAGCGAGCATCCATGTTGACGGCTGCTGATAGAGTCTCAGTGGCGAATACCACCTGGTGTGGAGTGGGGGGAGTGGGGTGACAGGGAACACTGGTTGAGGAAGCGGAGTGGGCGTGGGACGGAGAGAGATGGGAGAGCGCTGAGTGCACTGCAGAGTGGTGCGATGCGAGCGAGCCGGCATGTTGTTGTTGACGCCCGCTGATAGAAGCGAAGAGAGGAAAGATGAGAGAGTCACACCACACACCGTGCAGCATGTGGCACCTCACTCACAGCGCCACACAGCACCACACAGCACCACACAGCACCACACGCACCTTGACGAGCCCCCGTTGAAAGAGGTCTTCAACAAACCCCTTCCAGGGCGGCAGGCACCCCGCATGGTGCGCCGCCACTCCTCTCTTTAACATCTCCCCAGCAGCCCAGCAACCCAACAGCACCGCACAGCACCACACCACACCATACCATACATACAGCACCACACACACACACACCACCGCACCCCACCACACACACCTTGACAAGGCCGCGTTGAAAGAGGTCCTCCACAAACCCCTTCCAAGGAGGAAGGCACCCCGCGTGGTGCGCCGCCACGCCCTTCTTTAGAGCCGCCACCGCCCCCTCCCTCACCGCCTCCGGCTGCTGCTGCCTCAACGCCACTATGGCTGCTTCCACTTCTGCCTGTGAGAAGGGTGGGGGAAACGCGAAGGCAGGTAGAAGGGAATGTGGAAGGGGCAGGGTCAGCACCACCATGCCCTTCTTTAACGCCTCCACCGCCCCCTCCCTCACCGCCTCCGGCTGCTGCTGCCCCAACGCTGCTATGGCTTCTGTCACCTCTGCCTGTGGACACAAAGGGAAGGGGACCGGGAGGGTAGGGAGAGGAGGGGGAGGAGGGGGAGGAGGGGGAGGAGGGGGAGGAGGGGAGGAAAGGGGGGGAATGGGTAAGGGCAAAGGGCAAGAAGAACCCGGCCTTTTCTTCTCCCTCCCTCACCGCCTCTGGGTGCTGCTGCCCCGTGCTGCTCCAAGGAGTGGACTGGGGAGAGAAGGGGGAAATGCAATAGGCAAGTGCAACACGAGGCTGACCTTTGCCGCCTCAAGGCGCATATGCCCGCAGCAGCATCGCTGCGATGCCTCAACAAGGAGTTGCGTCAACATCGCTGATCTTTGCATGCCTCAACATCGCTGCGATGCCCACAGCAAGGAGTTGATGCGGGAGCGGATGCCTCATATGCCTCGCATCTTCTCCCTCATCGCTGCACAACCCCCCCCCATCCCTCAACACCCACTCACCACCCCTCTCACTCCCCCTTCCCTCTTTCCCCCCCCTCACCTGTTCACTGGGCGACAGCAGGTTGGTATCTCGCACGAAAGACACAGCCGTGTCACACCCGCGGCGGCTAAAAATAAACTTGTGAGAATTCTCAGAAGTGATTTCAAGATGGCAGGCAGCATGTCCTTCCGCCTCAGCTGCTCCAGCGTGTCTCTCACCCGTGGCACCTGCCGCCGCCACTGCTGCTCCGGTTGGTATGGTATCATGCATCCACTCCCGCGTCTATGCCAACTCCCTCCCCTCCCACTCCCTCACCAGCCCACTCACACACCATCCCACTCACCTGTTCACTGGTTGAGAGAAGGTTGGTATCGCGCACAAAGCTGACAGCCGTATCACACCCTCGGCGGCTGAAGATGAACCAGATGGCGGGGAGCATGTCCTTCTTCCTCAGCTGCTCCAGTGTGTCTCTCACCCGCGGCACCTGCCGCCGCCACTGCTGCTGCACCTGCTGCGCCGACAGCTCCTCTACCCGATTCTTCGCCTCCCCCCGCCGCCCCCTCCCCACCAGCTCAGCTAACCCTCCCCCGCTACGAGACAAAGCCGCAGCGATCCCCTTGCCGTTCTTGCCGCCCTTTTTGCCTCCTCTCCCTGCGTCTCTGTCTGCTTTCCCTGCGAAGCCCTTAGATTCCTTCCCTCGCTTGCCACCACCACCACCAACGCTGCTGCTGCCTTGACCATCGGCATCCCACCGTTGGAAGGACCTGCCACTGCCACGTGGCAGCATCCTACCGGACTGGAGCTCCTCCAATAAGGGGTCGCCAGAAGGACGCAAGAGCAGCTGACTGGGGCATGGTTGGGGGAGGAAGAGGGGAGAGTCGAGTGGGGGAAGGTGGGAGAGGTTTAAAAAGAGTGTTGGGAGAGGGGAGGGGGAGCCTACAACAGGGAATGGGGGACAGTGGGGGGAAAAGACATGGAGGCTGGGGTGGGGTGGGGTTACGAGCGGGCTTGGGGAGAAATAAGATAACCAAGCAGAGGAAGCGGCATAGGAGTGAGATGAGTGAAGGAGAGGGAGACACTGGTCCGAGATGCACATGGGAGGAGAGAAATTAAGAAAAGAGGGACGGAGGGGCGTAAGGAATAGAAAGCGTAAGAGGGGGATGTAAATCAGACGCAGGCAAAAGAAACGGGAAGGGAAGAGGGGGACGGGAAGGGAGAAGGGAGAAGAAAAAGGGAGAGGAGGGACTGCGTACGGGTTGATGTCACGGTCTTCTGACATCGTCCAGTGAGCAGCAGTGCTTAGGTTTAGGCTTAAGCAAGTAGGAAAAAACAGTGTAAAAACTAAACACTAGCTAATAGCCAAGAGACTCCGGGTGAGACCGGAACTCTTCTCGTTAACAAAAACTAAAACAAGAAAAAGGGAGAGGAGGGACTGCGTACGGGTTGATAGCACGGCCGTGGTTGTCAAGGAGAGGCAGCATGTGGGTGAAGGGGAGGGAGAGAAGTGGGTGCGAGTGCGAGTGCGAGTGCGAGTTAGAGTGAGAGTGCGAGTGCGTGCGAGTGCGAGTGCGAGTGCGAGTAAGAATGTGGTGTGAGTGTGAGTGTGAGTGAGTGAGTGCATGCGTACGGGTTGATGTCACGGCCGCGGTTGTCAAGGAGGGGCAGCATGCGGAAGCGCGTGGAGAAGTGCCACTTGAGCGGTACGGGGCGGTGCTGTGAGGTGACGAGCTCCGTGCGCCCGTGCACCTGATGGCAGTGGGGCAGGCAGGCGAGCAGGTGGGTGGGCAGGCAGGCGGATGGGCGGGAAAGGAAAATGGCAATAGGAGATGGATCATGGAATGAGAAGGTTGCTGCGAGGGCTGCTGGGCAAGATGGATCATGGATGAATGGAACCAAATGGCTTTTGAGGCGCCTCAAAAGTCGCTGAGGGGGCTGCTGGGCAAGATGGATAAAGTCGATTGGCCGGATGGCCGGATGAACCAGATGGCAGGCAGTGTGTCCTTCCTCCTCAGCTGAACCAGATGGCAGGCAGTGTGTCCTTCCTCCTCAGCTGAACCAGATGGCAGGCAGTGTGTCCTTCCTCCTCAGCTGAACCAGATGGCAGGCAGTGTGTCCTTCCTCCTCAGCTGAACCAGATGGCAGGCAGTGTGTCCTTCCTCCTCAGCTGAACCAGATGGCAGGCAGTGTGTCCTTCCTCCTCAGCTGAACCAGATGGCAGGCAGTGTGTCCTTCCTCCTCAGCTGAACCAGATGGCAGGCAGTGTGTCCTTCCTCCTCAGCTGAACCAGATGGCAGGCAGTGTGTCCTTCCTCCTCAGCTGAACCAGATGGCAGGCAGTGTGTCCTTCCTCCTCAGCTGAACCAGATGGCAGGCAGTGTGTCCTTCCTCCTCAGCTGAACCAGATGGCAGGCAGTGTGTCCTTCCTCCTCAGCTGAACCAGATGGCAGGCAGTGTGTCCTTCCTCCTCAGCTGAACCAGATGGCAGGCAGTGTGTCCTTCCTCCTCAGCTGAACCAGATGGCAGGCAGTGTGTCCTTCCTCCTCAGCTGAACCAGATGGCAGGCAGTGTGTCCTTCCTCCTCAGCTGAACCAGATGGCAGGCAGTGTGTCCTTCCTCCTCAGCTGAACCAGATGGCAGGCAGTGTGTCCTTCCTCCTCAGCTGAACCAGATGGCAGGCAGTGTGTCCTTCCTCCTCAGCTGAACCAGATGGCAGGCAGTGTGTCCTTCCTCCTCAGCTGAACCAGATGGCAGGCAGTGTGTCCTTCCTCCTCAGCTGAACCAGATGGCAGGCAGTGTGTCCTTCCTCCTCAGCTGAACCAGATGGCAGGCAGTGTGTCCTTCCTCCTCAGCTGAACCAGATGGCAGGCAGTGTGTCCTTCCTCCTCAGCTGAACCAGATGGCAGGCAGTGTGTCCTTCCTCCTCAGCTGAACCAGATGGCAGGCAGTGTGTCCTTCCTCCTCAGCTGAACCAGATGGCAGGCAGTGTGTCCTTCCTCCTCAGCTGAACCAGATGGCAGGCAGTGTGTCCTTCCTCCTCAGCTGAACCAGATGGCAGGCAGTGTGTCCTTCCTCCTCAGCTGAACCAGATGGCAGGCAGTGTGTCCTTCCTCCTCAGCTGAACCAGATGGCAGGCAGTGTGTCCTTCCTCCTCAGCTGAACCAGATGGCAGGCAGTGTGTCCTTCCTCCTCAGCTGAACCAGATGGCAGGCAGTGTGTCCTTCCTCCTCAGCTGAACCAGATGGCAGGCAGTGTGTCCTTCCTCCTCAGCTGAACCAGATGGCAGGCAGTGTGTCCTTCCTCCTCAGCTGAACCAGATGGCAGGCAGTGTGTCCTTCCTCCTCAGCTGAACCAGATGGCAGGCAGTGTGTCCTTCCTCCTCAGCTGAACCAGATGGCAGGCAGTGTGTCCTTCCTCCTCAGCTGAACCAGATGGCAGGCAGTGTGTCCTTCCTCCTCAGCTGAACCAGATGGCAGGCAGTGTGTCCTTCCTCCTCAGCTGAACCAGATGGCAGGCAGTGTGTCCTTCCTCCTCAGCTGAACCAGATGGCAGGCAGTGTGTCCTTCCTCCTCAGCTGAACCAGATGGCAGGCAGTGTGTCCTTCCTCCTCAGCTGAACCAGATGGCAGGCAGTGTGTCCTTCCTCCTCAGCTGAACCAGATGGCAGGCAGTGTGTCCTTCCTCCTCAGCTGAACCAGATGGCAGGCAGTGTGTCCTTCCTCCTCAGCTGAACCAGATGGCAGGCAGTGTGTCCTTCCTCCTCAGCTGAACCAGATGGCAGGCAGTGTGTCCTTCCTCCTCAGCTGAACCAGATGGCAGGCAGTGTGTCCTTCCTCCTCAGCTGAACCAGATGGCAGGCAGTGTGTCCTTCCTCCTCAGCTGAACCAGATGGCAGGCAGTGTGTCCTTCCTCCTCAGCTGAACCAGATGGCAGGCAGTGTGTCCTTCCTCCTCAGCTGAACCAGATGGCAGGCAGTGTGTCCTTCCTCCTCAGCTGAACCAGATGGCAGGCAGTGTGTCCTTCCTCCTCAGCTGAACCAGATGGCAGGCAGTGTGTCCTTCCTCCTCAGCTGAACCAGATGGCAGGCAGTGTGTCCTTCCTCCTCAGCTGAACCAGATGGCAGGCAGTGTGTCCTTCCTCCTCAGCTGAACCAGATGGCAGGCAGTGTGTCCTTCCTCCTCAGCTGAACCAGATGGCAGGCAGTGTGTCCTTCCTCCTCAGCTGAACCAGATGGCAGGCAGTGTGTCCTTCCTCCTCAGCTGAACCAGATGGCAGGCAGTGTGTCCTTCCTCCTCAGCTGAACCAGATGGCAGGCAGTGTGTCCTTCCTCCTCAGCTGAACCAGATGGCAGGCAGTGTGTCCTTCCTCCTCAGCTGAACCAGATGGCAGGCAGTGTGTCCTTCCTCCTCAGCTGAACCAGATGGCAGGCAGTGTGTCCTTCCTCCTCAGCTGAACCAGATGGCAGGCAGTGTGTCCTTCCTCCTCAGCTGAACCAGATGGCAGGCAGTGTGTCCTTCCTCCTCAGCTGAACCAGATGGCAGGCAGTGTGTCCTTCCTCCTCAGCTGAACCAGATGGCAGGCAGTGTGTCCTTCCTCCTCAGCTGAACCAGATGGCAGGCAGTGTGTCCTTCCTCCTCAGCTGAACCAGATGGCAGGCAGTGTGTCCTTCCTCCTCAGCTGAACCAGATGGCAGGCAGTGTGTCCTTCCTCCTCAGCTGAACCAGATGGCAGGCAGTGTGTCCTTCCTCCTCAGCTGAACCAGATGGCAGGCAGTGTGTCCTTCCTCCTCAGCTGAACCAGATGGCAGGCAGTGTGTCCTTCCTCCTCAGCTGAACCAGATGGCAGGCAGTGTGTCCTTCCTCCTCAGCTGAACCAGATGGCAGGCAGTGTGTCCTTCCTCCTCAGCTGAACCAGATGGCAGGCAGTGTGTCCTTCCTCCTCAGCTGAACCAGATGGCAGGCAGTGTGTCCTTCCTCCTCAGCTGAACCAGATGGCAGGCAGTGTGTCCTTCCTCCTCAGCTGAACCAGATGGCAGGCAGTGTGTCCTTCCTCCTCAGCTGAACCAGATGGCAGGCAGTGTGTCCTTCCTCCTCAGCTGAACCAGATGGCAGGCAGTGTGTCCTTCCTCCTCAGCTGAACCAGATGGCAGGCAGTGTGTCCTTCCTCCTCAGCTGAACCAGATGGCAGGCAGTGTGTCCTTCCTCCTCAGCTGAACCAGATGGCAGGCAGTGTGTCCTTCCTCCTCAGCTGAACCAGATGGCAGGCAGTGTGTCCTTCCTCCTCAGCTGAACCAGATGGCAGGCAGTGTGTCCTTCCTCCTCAGCTGAACCAGATGGCAGGCAGTGTGTCCTTCCTCCTCAGCTGAACCAGATGGCAGGCAGTGTGTCCTTCCTCCTCAGCTGAACCAGATGGCAGGCAGTGTGTCCTTCCTCCTCAGCTGAACCAGATGGCAGGCAGTGTGTCCTTCCTCCTCAGCTGAACCAGATGGCAGGCAGTGTGTCCTTCCTCCTCAGCTGAACCAGATGGCAGGCAGTGTGTCCTTCCTCCTCAGCTGATGCACGCAACGATGCAATGCCACGCATGAGGTCGATTTTTTAGTCGACCAAAAGATCAACGCATGCACAGAGGATATGCTAACAGAGAGGATGATGACTGGCAGAGGGGCAGAGCGCAGGAGAACACGAGGAGAAACATCAAAGTCAGCAAGGCGGGGAGTAGGAAGAAGTGGGGTGGAGTGGAGGGATGTAGAGGTGCTGCTCGGTTGAGAGCAGCGATGTTGTTGCGGTGCCATCTTCAGACGAATCCTAGGCGAGAAGGAGCCAGGGAAGGGAGGAGGGAGAAGAGCGAGCAGTGAGACAGAACAACCTGATGGCTTGCAGACTAAGAACTCTCTCACCCACTCACTCACTCACTCACTCACTCACTCACCCTGCCAATCCAGTCTGCAAGCTCATCAGGGTTGGCAACCGTGGCGGAGAGGCACACGAGCTGGATGGACTTGGGGCAGTAGATCACCTGCACGTAGCAGAGACGGGAAGGGAGGGAGGGGGGAGATGGGTGGTATGGGTGGGTAGGAGAGAATTCTGTCACATCTCTCCCAAGCAATGTTGTATAGGGTCGGATTCGATCGCAGCAAGCCAACTGAGCTCGCTCATGTATGGATCTACATGGTGATATACGTGGATCTACATGGTGATATACGTGGATCTACATGGTGATATACGTGGATCTACATGGTGATATACGTGGATCTACATGGTGATATACGTGGATCTACATGGTGATATACGTGGATCTACATGGTGATATACGTGGATCTACATGGTGATATACGTGGATCTAACCAGATCTAACTAGGAGAGAACAATAGCGAGCAGAAGAAAGATTAAGAATGTCAATTGGTAAGACAAAACATGGGATGTGCGTGCGAATGCGTTTTGGCCAAACAGGCCTTCATCAGCGCAGTGAGGGAGGGGTAGGTGGGTTAGGTGAGTGGTGTGGGTGGGTGGGTAGGAGAGAATTCAGTCGCATCTCTGCATGCGGTTTGTCCTGTTACCACATCCAATGTGGGGTGCTCTACTTCTTGCAACAAGCGTGCATGCAGCAAATATGCTTGCTAGCATCGCAGATAGTCCTACAGCCAGGCTGAACATAAGGCGAAGGATAATTCGGCCGAGTGAAACCGAATCCCCGCCATACAGCCCCTCCCACCCATTCACCGTCTCCTCCCACACAGTACCTCTGGAAATGTCAGACTGGTATCACAACTCACACCTGTAATGCACCTCGTCCAGCACCAATGGTGTGAGCTGTGGTACCCATTCTCCACCACCAGCCAGCCCATCCCCCCTCACTCACCGTCTCCTCCCACACAGTCCCCCTTGAGATATCAGAGAGGTAGTGCACCTCGTCCAGCACCACCGCCTCCACCCCCCTCAGCCTCTCCTCCTCCGCCTCGCCCGCACCCATGCTGGCAGGCAGGGGGAGAGAGGGGGGGGGTAGGGTAGGGAGAGTGGAAGGGAAGAGAGGGGAGGAGAGGGAGTGTGGGGAATGGGGGTGTGGTTGGGAGCAGGGAGGGAAGGAGGAATGGAGGGGGTGAGAGGTAGTGCACCTTGTTTATACAAAAAGGGGAGATTTGAGGAAAGAGGAGGGAGGGGAGAATGGGAGGAGGGGGATGAATGACTACATTCCAGTATAGTCACGTGACACACCTGGTGTAGGTATTTTCACAATCCGCTCCCTTGAGGTAACGCACCTGGACGGACCTGCTGTAGAGAACGTCGCTATAGTCACACCCTCTGAAAGGCATCTCAGTCCCTTAAGGTAGCGCACCTCGACCTGGTGCAGAGCATGTCACTATAGTCACACCTGGTGAAGGGCAACTCATCTCAATATAATCACACCCTCCACCTGGGTAAGGCACCTCGCTATAGGGACACACCCCACTTGGTCCAGAGCACCTCGCTACAGTCGCACCTGTTGCAGAGCATCTCGCTATAATCACACACCACACCTGTTGCAGAGCATCTCGCTTTAGTCACACACCACACCTGTTGCAGTGCATCTCGCTATAGTCACACACCACACTTGGTGCAGAGCATCTCGCCTCACTATAATCACACCACATTTGGTGTAGAGCATCTCGCTAATAGCCACACCACACCTGTTGCAGAGCATCTTGCTACAGTCACAACACACATGGTGCAGAGCATCTCGCTATAGTCACACACCACACCTGGTTCAGAGCATCTTGCTATAGTCACACCTGGTGTAGATCATCTCGCTATAGTCACACACACCTGGTTTAGATCATCTCGCTCTAGTCACACACACCTGGTGTAGAGCATGTTGCGCAGAATCTCAGTGGTCATGACAAGGATGGGCGCGTCTCTGTTCACTGCCACGTCACCAGTCAGCAGCCCCACGTTGCCCTCCCCAAACTTCACCCTGCCATGCCACGTGGAGCATTGGTTAAAGCATGTGGACAGTGAGGAAGCAGGCTTGTCATGTCATGCAAAAAGAAGGAAAGAAAAAAAAAAAAGGAAGCAGGAAACTGAATGGCATCGCTCCAGCTTGTGGTAGCGTTGCTTCCTTTCCTTCTCGAACAGCACCGAACAAGAGAGCTGCCCACAATAGCAAAGGAGCACCAAAATAGCAAGAAGAACTGCACCTGAAGTCACACAGTTTCTGGTTGGAGAGCGCTTTGAGCGGCGTGGTATAGATGAGGCGCCCTCCCCTCGCCATGGTGGCCGCTGCCACTCACAAGCACCTCAAAGCACCTCAATCAGAGGCGCCTTATAGGCGCCCGTCCAGATACCTCATACCTCACAGCGCACCTGAAGTCACGCAGCTTCTGGTTGGAGAGCGCCTTAAGCGGCGTGGTGTAGATGAGGCGCCCTCCCCTCGCCATCGTGGCTGCTGCTGCTGCCTCCCCCACGAGTGTCTTGCCACTGCTGGTGGGCGCACACACCACCACTGAGGAGCCGCGCAGGAACGCCTCTATCGCCACTCGCTGTGGGAAGGGAGGGTTGGGGGTTAAATATTTTGATAATCAGGATTGATTGCAGCCAGTGCTGCCACTGCCTCCCCCACAAGTGTCTTGCCACTGCAGTGCAGGTGGGAGAGGGGGGAGGGGGTTAGGTTCTATAGATGGGTTTGGGAAATGGAAATCAGGGTTGAGGGTTTAAGGTGAGATTGGGGTCAAGGGTGTGAGTGAGATAAGGGTTTAGGGTCAGAGTTGCGAGGTGAACACACACCAGCCAGCCAGCGCAGGCTAGAAGATATTTAAATGGGTATTAGCGGGGAAGCGGAACAACAAGTGAAGGAGGGAAAGCGAAATGCTGGAATGCGTTGGGCACACCAAGTGTCACACGGCAGTAGCTTCTTGCATAGCAGCAGGGAGACAAGGACAGGAGTATTTTGAGTCGACTCAAAACACTTCTTGCAGAGCAACAGGGAGACAAGGACAGGAGGAGGGGTACAAAGGGCCCAACGGCTGTGATCATTTACGAACGGATCCAACGGCTGGTGTCACTCACCTGAAACTTGTCAATGGGGTGGTCAAACAGCCTCGCCAGATCACGAGCCGTGATCACCGCACCTCCTGCACCAGCACCAGCACCAGCAGCGGCGGCATACTGAGCTTGCTGCACCCGCATCTGCAGCTGATGCACTCTCTCACTCATGCTCATCCCCTCCATCCCCATCCCCTCCCCTTCCTCCCCTTCCTCCTCCTCCTCCTCCTCCTCCTCCTCTTCCTCCTCTTCTTCCTCCTCCTCGTCTTCATAGTCACTCTCCCCTACAATCACATCCAGCACCCCCTCCTCTAGCTCCTCCAAATCCTCCCCGCCTCCCTCCTCCACCTCGTCATCATCCATCTCGAATCGCGTCATGCCTCCGCCAATCGCGGCGCCACCTGCGCCCCGCTCTCTCTGCTGCTGCAGCGACTCGAACCGCTCCATCAGCTGGTCCACCGTTCTAGTCACATTCCGCTCGTCCTCGCTGTAACCGCCTCCGTTATAAGCACTCGACGCGGTATCAGCACCTCCTAATTTGCTAGTGTCGTCGTCCCAACCTTGGGATCTCCAGCTGTCCAATCCGTTATCAACTGATTCGCCACCAACTCCGCCGTGTGTCCCACCTCTACGCTTCCCCTTCCCCGTATCCCTCCGCTCCGCACTCCCCCGTATCGAACTGGAAACCTCCCCCAGGTCTTCCGCCTTCCGAGCTGAAAACCCGAATCCTTGCGCCTTCCGCAACCCCCCTCGTCCCCCAAGTCTCGTACTCCGAAGTCCATTCCATTCGTGCCATAAGAATGTACCCTTCCCCGCGCTGCTTCTGTACAGCTTTATTTTCGCCGAGCGGGGAAACGCGCTCGGAGCAGCGGAAGGGAGGCGGAGCGAGGGGAGAATGGGGAGCGAGATGAGGGAGAGATAGTGGAACGAGGCGCAGGAGGAAGGCAGCTGCGGGGATCCTGATGCGAGACACGACGGGGTGATGAAGGAAGAGTTATTGCCGACGCGGGGATTCGAAACCGCGACGCATCGCGAATGAGCGGAAGTTGCCATAAGGGCGACTCGTCGCAGCTCCGAGACAGACTGTCAGAGAGCCCCTCGCCTGCTTTCGCGAATGACTGATTTATGATGTCTAATCTTCGAATCGCCGCTCGCCCGCAGCTCGCGCAGCGCAGTAGCGTCAAGTGCACATTCTGGCAAGAACGAGTTCAGTTCAGACGCCGATCGCGACGATTGATGCCCATGCGGCAACGCTGACTCCCTCTGGTTCAGCTATTGATCGGCATGGCATGGAGGGCGGCATGGAGTATGCTGGAAGTGGTACTTGGGGACGGAAACCTCGATTAGGATGAATAGACCCAAGGTATTGCTGAGAGGCGGATTTGCGGAAACAGCGGGAGACGTCGGGTGTGACCGCATTGGGATCGCGTCGCGTGGCAAGTTCGTTGCAGTTACCACCATAATGTGTCATCGACACTCCCAAGGTTACTGTTGCCCCTGAAAACGTCCCTCGGGTCGGTACTGTTCGACAGGCAGGCCCCTCCTTGGAGGGCAACCCCTCCTTCCACCATTGGGATCGTGGGCAGGGTCAAAAACTTTGCCCAGTGATCGAATGGGAACCTGGGTAAGGACGCGTCACAAGTAGAACATCGATCCTGCCTAGAATCGGTGTTTAGGTGGTTACACATTTTCGTTAATTTTCGCTAACGTACAGTTTTCCCTTCTAAGTCAGGCGATCGATGTGCCCCTGTCACACATCGATAATGCAATTTCGTCCACATCGGGCAATTTTGCCCCATGTTTTTACGATCGTGTCACTTGAAACTTCAAAGCAGTCGTGACACACCGATATGGCGATCGGTTTGACAGGTTCGGTGAACAACCCTGATCCTTCCTCGATATTTTACTTGTGACGCGTCCTAACCCAAGGGAATAAAAAAACCTGAGACCCCTCTCACGCGTGGCTGGTGACTGGTTTGGTTGAGCAGGGGAGGGGACATTTTCAGGGCAGAGATGGGAGGGGCTAGGGCACGGGCTCTGGTTAAAAACAATTCGTAGAGTATGGGTGGGTATTCCCTCCCGAACTAAACCCTAGCCTAGCTCTTGGCCGAACTCCATTCTGGGGCTTGGAAGGCTGGGCTAGAGCTAGGCTAAACTCTACGCGTAGGGGAAGGGGCTGGGAGCTTTCGGGGGGGCTGAACTTGGAGGGTTAATGTCGCGTTCGACAGGCTAACCCTTAAAACTCCAGTATACATTTGTGAGCGGGGTTTAGGGTTTGTATAGTGTGCCTTACAGTTTTGGGGCAACTTTTCAAGTTCCTAAGGATTTTGAACCCCTCCTTTCAAATGTATACCGGAGCTTTAACACTTCGTGCTACCTGCGTTAAGGCCCAAAAACAGCAGATTGCGGGCTGACCGTTGAAAAAAAAACCTAAGTCGAAACAGCCGCGATGGTTCCGCGGAAGGGTTTGCGTGCCTGTCGAGCAGGGCCGTCATCTGGGATTCTGAACGGAATTTGCTACCGAAATAGCCCGCGAATATGCATCAGATATTTTCGTTTTGTGCCTTTTTCGCAACAAACCTATTGCAATGTAGCACATCCAGCTCAGGATGAAATCCGGAGGAACATGCACCGTGCTAGACCGCACCAAATCGCGTAAAAACTGCATCCTGACTCCCACACAGCTCCATTTTCTGCAAATACCGCATGCTTTCCTCCTCACGAGGAAGGAGTTGACTTGTGCGAGCTTGCACAAGCCAGGCTTGTTGCCGCCATTAGCATTAGTTTCCTTGTAATATTATCGGCATGATACTCGCAGCGAATCCTTGATCCTTTTCGTACCCGTCGTCCGCATCGTATTGCATCTGTGCGACTGTCGGCGGCTGTCGTTCGGGTCGCTCGCGACGTTCGTCAAAGTCGCTCGTTTTCGTCTGCACTGTTTGCGTTAGCGACATCCATTAGCGAGCGTCAAGCGACCGCAGCGACAATGCTTCCCTGCCGCGCGCTCTCTTCCTGCGGGCGGCTTCAAATGATCCTCTTTTCGCACGTCCCCCTGCGACTCTCTGCGCCCAGCTGGAGATCATCTCCGTCACCGATCCCAACCGATCCGCACCTTGTGCTATCCTCCCGTCTCCCGCAGCAAATCAGCACGCGCCTCTCCTCATCTGCTGCGGCCGCAGCGGCGGCTGCAGGCCGACCGAGCGCTGGCAAATCCGCCGCCACTTCAGGGAGCGCAAGAAAAAGTGTTACTAGCGAGTCGCCGCTGCTTGCCAGTAGCAACAGCCAGTCTCCCCGCGTTAAACCCTCCGTCCGCCTTCGATCGCAAGGCGTCACTCCCACTTCCGCCAACTCGCATGCTACCCCGAGTGCTAAGCCCTCGACCCGCCGGCGAACGCGCACGGCTGCTGCTGGTGCTGCTTCCGGCGTGCCTGTAGCGGACGCGCTGATAACGGGCGCCGGTGCTGTTACCGCGGAGGTCGCGACTGTAACGGGCTCAGCAGCGTCCGCGGAAGCACCCGCGCGGGCGCAGGCGGAAGGGGAAGGGGAAGAGGCGCAAGGAGCGCGGGGCGGCGGGGCGATCCACGTGATCACGGGGCCGATGTTCGCGGGGAAGACGACGGCGCTGCTGGCGCGCATGCACGAGGAGATGGGGCGCGGCAGGTGAGCGATTGGGCGCGGCAGGTGAGCGATTGGGCGCAGCAGGTGAGCGATTGGGCGCAGCAGGTGAGCGATTGGGCGCAGCAGGTGAGACGAGGAGATGGGGCGCGGCGGGTGAGGGATTGGGAGCGGCAGGTGGGCAAACTCTGATGGGGGGCTCATGCGGCACGCAAAAGATGAGGCAGGTGAGGGAAACAAGGTCACGTGTCGCAAAGGATGCACAGTTGCACCTTTCTGACCGACCCACAAGCTCCTCATCCCCGTACCCGCTCTTCCCCGCTCCATCCCCGTACCCGCTCTTCACCCATTCCTGACATCTTAAACCTCAAACCCCGAACACCCAACCTACAAACCCGAATCCCTTATCTGTCAGACTTCAAACCTGTTCTGACTGCACAGCAGGCGCGTGGTGGTGGTGAAGTCATGCGCTGGCACATAGTACACGACCCGCAGGACACAGATAACTGGAATCACAAACCCTAACCCCCGAAGGCCGAACCCTGAACGCCCGAACTCCAACCACTGCAGGCACGTGGTGGTGAAGTTGCGTATTGACTCCCCGGGTACAGATAAGCTGAAAGTTTGAAGCCCATGCGTTGAAAAAGTGAGTGCTAGCGCGTGGTGGTGTGGTGGTAAAGTTACGTGCTGACATGCGGTACTGGCGAGCCCGTACCCTTAGCCGCCTTATACAACACCCAACCATCCAAACCCAAGCCCAAACCCCAAACCCCAACTGCTGAGGCGCCTCAAAAGACGAAATTTGAGTCGACTCAAAAGTCACACAGTACTAGCAAGCGCATACCCACCATATAAAACACCCAACCATCCAAGCCCAAACCCAAATCCCCAACTCGCGAACACTACACGTGTATGGTGTGGTGGTGAAATGTCGGCTCACACGAGCCGAGCCCATAACCTGCGTCCCAAACAACCAAAGCACATAACCTGCGTCCCAAACAACCAAAGCACATAACCTGCGTCCCAAACAACCAAAGCACATAACCTGCGTCCCAAACAACCAAAGCACATAACCTGCGTCCCAAACAACCAAAGCACATAACCTGCGTCCCAAACAACCAAAGCACATAACCTGCGTCCCAAACAACCAAAGCACATAACCTGCGTCCCAAACAACCAAAGCACATAACCTGCGTCCCAAACAACCAAAGCACATAACCTGCGTCCCAAACAACCAAAGCACATAACCTGCGTCCCAAACAACCAAAGCACACAATATTTCGAATCTTAAACTCCAAACCCCGAACACTGCAGGCTCCCGGTGGTGGTGAAGTCAAAAGGCCGACACGCGGTACACAAGATAAAACTCCAAACAACGAAACCCTAACCTCGTGTATTGAATGCAGGCGTGTGGTGGTGAAGTAACATTACGCGCCACCACTTGGGCGAGCAAGGCACAGATAACCTTTACCATTAAACCCAAACCCTTCAGGTGCGTGTTGGAGGTGAAGTCAAAGGCTGACACACGGTACGCGCAGGACGCAAATAGGCACAAACCTTAAACCCCATTCTGACACCCTTCACACGTCAATTCTTCAGGTGCGTGTTGGTGGTGAAGTCAAAGGCCTACACGCGGTACGCACGGGACGCGGTGGTTTCGCACGATGGCGCCGCCATGCCCTGCCTCGCCGTGCGCTCCCTGCTGGAGGTGCTTTCAGCAGAGGGGGCGCACGGAGAGGCATACGAGCAGGTGAGGGCTGCCGCACGCACAGGGGCCGAGTGCCTCGCCGTGCGCTCCCTGCTGGAAGTGCAGGCAGTGGAAGGAAGGGGCGCACCGAGAAGCCCACGAGCAGGTGAGGTGCCGTGCTGACACAGGAGGGGGCGCATCGACAAGAGGGGAGTGAGAGGCTCCATGGTATGGTCCACTCATCAGTCTCCTCGCCGTGCACAGCCACAGCCTGTGGCATGTGGAACTAGGCACCTCTTGAAATAGGCCCCCATGATCTCCCCTCCCCTCTCCCCGCTCCCCCCTTCACTCCCCAGGCGGCAGTGATAGGGGTGGACGAGGCGCAGTTCATTCACGGACTGGTGGAGTTCTCCCTCCGGGCGGCAGACCGTGACGGGAAGACACTGTTCATCGCAGGGCTGGACGGCGACTTTCGGAGGTGTGTGCGTTCCGCGTGGCGGGGTGCGGGTTTGTGTACGGTGTTTTCCCACCCATGATAGGCATTGTGTGACAGTGTGGTGTGCCCTGGTGTGTCATGATGCAGTGCCGTGTGCCATGTGCCATGTGCATGCCATGCCTTGCAGTTCCATGCATCCCTATCACTTCCCGCTCGCCGCATTGCCCCATGACTTGCCGCATTGCCCCATGACTTGCCGCATTGCCCCATGACTTGCCGCATTGCCCCATGACTTGCCGCATTGCCCCATGACTTGCCGCATTGCCCCATGACTTGCCGCATTGCCCCATGACTTGCCGCATTGCCCCATGACTTGCCGCATTGCCCCATGACTTGCTGTATCCCCCCATGACTTGCCACATGCACTTATGCCTGCCTTTCACCTGCTGCCTTTCACCTGCTGCCTTTCACCTGCTGCCTCTCACCTGCTGCCTTTCACCTGCTGCCTTTCTGCAGCCTTCTCTCCTCCACCTCTCTCCGTGGAATTGCCAGTCTGCTTTTCCAAACCCCTTGCACATCTGCCTTCTCCTATTTGACTGCCAGCCTCCATGTATCGTCTCTCTTCAGACCAACTCTCCACATCGCATCATTTAACCAATTGATTTGCCCATTTCACACTTTTCAGTTCGTCAAAGAGTCCGTGCCTATTTTTATCTCTCTTCCTTCCCTTACAGAAAACGCTTTGGCGAGTTGCTGGATCTGATTCCTCACGCAGACTCCGTGACAAAACTCGCCGCCCGGTGTGAGATGTGTGGGCGGCCGGCGTCGTTCACGCTGCGCAAGACGCAGGAGACAAAGCTGCGGCTGGTGGGCGGCGCAGAGACGTACATGCCAGTGTGCCGAACACACTACCTGAGCGGGAAAAGTGTTGTTGAGCTTGCTAGAGACTTAGGGCCTAAGCATGATTCGTCAAAAGATTATTCGTCTTAGCACATTGCAGCTGATTGAGATTACCGTAAACCCCCGGATATAAGACCCCCCCCAGTTGTAGACCCCCGGGTCTATTATACGGGGGGGGGGGGGGGGGGGGGGTATGCTATTAAAGTCTATCCGAGTTATACCCCCCTAAATGGCATCTGACATTATAAGACCACCCCCCCCCCCCCCCCCCCCTCCCACTGGAGACCTACCGTCAGCCCCCAGATATACACGTTTTTTTAGGGGGTGCGCTTCAAATCAAGGATTTTGATGAGTGGCGGCGCATATATAATAACATCCGTATATGAAATCTGTTTTTTCTTCACCAATCAATCCATCTCGTTTTTGCATTTTGAATCGAGTCGAAACTATACAGGGATGTGGTGGAGTATATCGAGCAAGTTGGCAGGGAATGATTCCCTGCCAACACAAACAGTAAAGAATGAGCCAATTGCCGCGCGTGACAGCTCATTCTTGTTGGGCTGAGAAAGGCCCTTAGAGGATCTTTGCAGGACTAAACTCTGGTAGGAACAATGTAATAGCGGAAGCGTTTCTTAGTGAGAGTTGTTGAACCACCTTGCGCTGGTATGTGAGGGCAAAGTAAGTCGATTAAAGCAAAAGGATACAAGATTATATAAGAGTACAAGGAATATGAAAGGATACAGCTATAACTGTTTTACTGTTGCTGTTGCGGTTCGATACAGTGACGACTCGGGCAACTGCTCTGTAACGAGTCAGTTGTGTGTCCTTGCTGTCGCACTGTACTGGTCAGGTCAAAGGTCGCTGACCTTTGACTTTCGCGTAACCTCCAGCGGTTACTTCAACCTCCGAGGGTTGACTCGCCGGTGCTTCGATATGCTTTGCTTCGCTTGTGACTTGGTGTTTCGCCACGACAGAAGCGCTTTAAATCAATTGTTTCCAACACTCCCCTTCGCTTCTGGAGTGTTACTGTTGATGACGTGGTCTTGTCCAGTCAGCATCATGCAGTACTCGAATTTCTGCTTTCCGAGCTTTTTGGTCAAGTAGTCAGCTGCCATCTCGGACGTGGGGCAGTATGACAGCTCGAGTCTCCCCTTCTCGATCTCGTCCTTCACGAAGAAGTATCGCAGGGCGATGTGTTTCGTCCTGTTCGCGAAGCCATTCTTGTTGGCTATGCGAATTGCCGACTGGTTGTCGCAGAACAGAGTGAAGCTGGGTAACTGAGCCAACTTCGCTTCTTCAAGGAGTTCGCGAAGGTACAATCCTTCCTTGGTGGCTGAGCAGAGTGCTATATATTCTGCCTCAACTGAGGAGAGGGCGATTAACTCCTGCTTGCTCGACTGCCAGGAGATAGGTCCGATAGGCTCGAGGCGGTAGACGTAGCCGGTGCGTGAGTGCCTGTTGTCGGCGTCTCCGGCATGATCGGCGTCGACGTAGCCGATTAGCTTGGGTGTTGTCGTTCAGTTCTTATGGTAGGTCAGACCGATTGTCGGAGTGCTGACGAGGTAGTGAAGAGCGCGGTCGAGTTCCGCCAGATGTTCCGCTTCAGGTTTCTTGAGGTAGGTGGCGAGCTGACTTGCGGAGTATGATAGATCTGGACGACAGGTTACGGCCGCGAAGAGAAGGCATCCCAACTTTCTTTGGTAGTCGCGTATGCCGGCGGGCTTGAGCGGAGCGGATCCTTCCTTGTGATTTCCTGCCGTGTAGCGGTATGGTGTGGAGATGGTAGTTGGTGTAAGTGCGAAGCGTTTGGCGATGGTGTCGGCGTACTTCGTGGCGCTGAGATAGATCGCGTTTTCCTTTTCTTCGATGTTGAGGCCGAGAAATTGCGTGACGGTAGATGAGACTGTGAGAGTGAGATCTTTCTGCGGCTCCTTTTCGAACCAGGTAGTGATACCGTCGGTAGAGCCGATGTAGAGAAGATCGTCCACGTAGACGATGAGTAGAATGTGGTCGGTTCCCTTTGTGAGCCGGTACATACCCTGATCGTGCGGTAGTTGGTGGAATCCGATGCGAATGAGTCGGGCGTGAAGGTACTGCTGCCACAGTCTTGGGGCTTGTTTGATCCCGTACAGGGACTTTAACATCTGACAGACGTGGTTGGAGTCCGTGCTAGAGCCATGTGGTAACTCGACAATAATCTCTGCGTCGACAGGTGCGTAGAGAAAGGCGTTGGCGACGTCGATTTGCCGCAGCTTCTTCTTCTTCATGGCGGCGATCGCGAGAAGAATCCGTAGTGAAGTGTGTCGGCTGACTGGGGCGAATGTTTCGGTGAAGTCGCGTCCGTGTTCCTGGTCGAAGCCGCGTACGACCCAGCGCGCCTTAAATTTGTCGATGTTGCCGTCTGCCTTTGTCTTCACACGGAAGACCCATTTCCCGGTGAGTATTGTCTTGTTTTGTGCCGTGCTGATGGGAACAATTTTCCAAGTGTTGCGCTCCTCCAGTGCTTTCAGTTCAATGTCCATGGCTTCGCGCCATTTTTCCTTATGCTCCCCCCCCAGAGCCTGCTGAACTGTGGCAGGCTCCTTAGGAATCGCCGTGCCGTGAGTTGCGGTGACGAGGCCGAGTATTTGGAGTCCACTCTGTGTGTAGCGGGGAAGTGTTGTGTCCTCGGGATAGACTGCTTCGTCTCCCGCTTCTGGATCAGGTATGAAATTGGGTCCTATGCGTTCTGCTTCGTCGGTGTTGACTTGTGCAGGTGTAACGTAACCAGTGTCAGCGAAGTTGTAGAAGACTTCGGCGTTGATGCTGTCGCGAGGGTTTTCGTCGTCCATGGGAACATCGACCGAACAGTAAGGTAGAGGTCCGGCTGCTTCCGAGGCTCCGTCCACGTTCTGCTCGTCCAGGTCAGCTTCGTCGGCTGCTGAGGCGAAGGCTCGGTCACCACGGAATCCGCCTGTGAGGTCCCGGTTTTCTTCCACGTTGGCAAGGTACGTTGGGAGTGTGAGTCGTTCGTAGAAAATGACATCACGTGCTGCCACTGTTTCCTTTGTGTGAACGTCGAAAATCTTCCATGCGTTGTAATTCTTTTCGATGCCCAGGTGTAGTCCCCACTGTGCGCGTTGAGAGAATCGGCCGGCTCGTGCAGCTGGGGGTCGGTACTGTACCATACAGCCAAAAACCCGTAACATTTTTGTGCTGCCCAATTTTCCTGTCCACAGCAGATGCGGTGATGCGTTGTTCGGGAGTGACGACGAAGAAAGCAAGTTGTGCAGCATGACAGCGTGGTCCATCGCCTCAGGCCACTGGTGGGTGGGTAGCCGCATGCCACGTAGCAGTTTGCGCATGGTGTTCTGCAGAGTCCTGTTCATTCTTTCTGCCACGCCTTGCTGTTGATGGGCGTAGGGGAGGGAGATGAGCCTTTTGATGCCTCGTTCTGCCAGGTACTGCTTGAATCGCTGTGACTGATATTCTCCTCCCCCGTCTATTTGGAAACTTTTCAATTTTACCCCTGACTCTCGTTCTGCCGCTGGGAGCCAGGCGACGAAGGCTTCGAAGGCCATGTCGCGGCTTGGAAGGTTGAGATGCCAGACGTAGCGTGTGGCGGCGTCGATGAACGTGATGACGTAGCTGTATGTTCCTTGTCCGGGTTCACGGTTGTACAGGATGTCGCTGTACACCTTCTCCAGTGGTGCGTACGTTGGTGTGCTAGGGGTTGTGGTGAGAGACGAACGGCTGATGCGGTAAGTCGGCTTCAGGACAGGTGAAGCATGTTCCGCGGACTCGTTGAAGTTCTCTCCCGTCGTGCAGTAGTAGTGAATCTTTGTCGAGCACTCCTGCTCTTATCGTGTTGTTTAATGTTGTGTTGCTTGGGTGTCCCATCCGTGCATGCCAGATGTCTTCGCTGGCGCGATGTCCGGGTGAGCGCCGGTACAGTCGGAGTTGGATTAGAAGGCGGTGGTGAAGTTGGCGCTTCGGTGGACTTCTCGTTGAGTTGGAGCTAGCTGCTGCGCGGGTGTTGGTGGTGAATCGTTGAGAAGGATTGGTGTCGTTGAAGGACCAACGATTGGCGTCGTTGTTGTTTCTGTTGCCGGTGTTGATGTTCCTGCTGCTGCTGTTGTTGTCTCCGCTGCTGCAGCTGTTGTCTCTACTGCTGCCGATGTTGTCTCTGCTGCTGCCGATTGTTGAATTGTTGCTAACGCTCTTGTTCGTTCTGCCTCAGGTATCGTGTGAGAGTGCCAGAAGCCGCCGGGGCTGAAGTCTGGGTCAAGATCTGGAGGGTGTGTCCAAGGAGCAAAGCTGACGATGCCGTCGCTGTCGGCGGTGCCAAGATCTGGGACGAAGTCGAGGACGAAGACGTTGTACTTCAATACTGCCTTGCTGATGTAAAGTCCGCCCTTCCCGTGGTACAGTTTGAATTCTTGAGTGGAGCTGTCTGCCTCGAGGTGGATCCCTTTCGCCATCAGTTGACTGACGCTTAGTAAGTTGTAGCCGAGTCCTTCTGCTATTAAGACCTTCGTCATTTGCAGTATGACGTTTGTCTCCCGTGACTGAAGTTGAACCACGCCTTGTCGTCGTGTGCGCAGGTTCTGGTTGTTGGCGACGGTGATGACGACTTCGCGTTGGAGTTGGTGTTCTCGTTGAACGAAGCGACCCGAAGAACACATGTGTTGTCCACAGCAACTGTCCAAGAACCAGGTGTCCTTCCCAGAAGGTTCGCTTTGGGCGATGGCTGCGTACGTCGGGTTCGGTTGAAGTGACTCGCGGCGGGGCGTGCTGTTGTCGAGTTGTTCTTCCGGTGAGTAATGTGGCGGTGACTCGGTGATGCAGGAGTCGGTCAATCTTGCCATGCAGCTGACGATGTTTCTTGCTCCTTGTGCAGGTTGTCCTGTCGATGTCGTTGAGACTTGTACTTGAGTGGTGGGATTCGCTTGTGTTGAGGCGACTTGACTGCTCGAAGGTCGAAGTTGCCACTGCGTCGATGTCGAGTGCTGTCGGTTGGGGCAGTGTGTGCAGGGGTGCCCTGACATCTTGCAGATATGACAGGACGGAGGTACGAGTTTCGGTTGAGGCCGGTTGTTGTTGCTGTAGCA